CCAGCAGCGGTAGACCTGCAGAACAGATCAGAACACTCAGTCATCAGTCATGTCACTAAACATACCTAGCAAGCATGACTCAGACTTGTCGCTCCAACAATCTGAGAACCTATGAATATGGGCACACAGTAACAGAGAGAAATGGCTTACCCACAACCAAGACATGTCGATACACGATGAGGGCCACTTCTAGGTCACATCAACCCCGCCGTACACGCGCTGTAGGAAGGTACTTAGGCGGTTTAAGGAGAGGCAACGGGTTCACAAAGAGAACTTACCCGCGGAGAGTTATAGTAGACGGCATGCCACCATTCAGAAGCATGTGAGGGCTGTGTAAGGGACTTAGTCGTGATACGAGGGAGAGGGGGGATGAGCGACGATGTCGAACTGCGGCGCGCTTTTAAGTCAAGTTCAAAGTCCGTCATGTTGAACTTAGCACGTGAGGCGACGCGCATCAGTCAGGCGCTGGTGGTTGCTCTGTTGCTAAGGGTATATATATAGAATGATAAGATAATCCTCTGGTAAGCGTATCTCAACAGGCGGTTGGCTTATCATAAATACAAGTCTGGTATTCGGCTGGTAATGCGATTGTAGACGTGCTAAAATAACTGGAATAAGTGCCAGCCACTACCAGCCGCGGGACAATTTGCTGATGGTGGGCCAGGACTACCCCGTCAACCGTGGCGACCTCTGCTACTTTATGTGCCTCCCTAACCTGCTCCTTCGCTCGAGTCATCCTAGACGTTCGGAGACTTTCCACCAGCAGCTCTGGTGCGAGACTTGTCTGAGTGGAACCTCACCGCTTCACCCTGACTGCACTTGCGATCAACACTTGCCAGTGACGTACAGGTGCCAAGCGGCACGTGATGATGGCGAGTAGAGTTCATCGGCAGGCAAGCCAGACGGACTGCTCATCGCAGACCGAACTCCTGGGCCTTCACGCAGGACTAGCCAGTTGATCCGATCGGTAGTCGTAGCTGCTATCAAGGAGCAGTATGTCACCTACGTGGCTCGAGGGCGCAATCCCTGCAGCGAGTATGGGAAACATAAGAGACTACTCTTCGAGGACCCGTGTACTGCGTTCGCAATCCTGTACCTGGCCAGATCGCAGATTCGTGGCGTCCTTCTCAGCAAACCCCGAGCGGGCCGTTTCATCGCATGTTCCCCAGCCAGGACCGCGGTAGACACGGTTGGAAATCTTCCAGTATTATCGAGACCCCACCGCTGATGGAGCTTTGACCCCGAATGCTACCCCGTCGACGGACCCGCTATCAGCTTCTGCCAGCTCGTATGACTTCCATATTTGCCCCTCTGTTGGACTTATCCCAGACGTCTGGAGACCTCTGGCTATTAGCCCTCGAACGAAGCAGCTTACCCGGCGACACGCTAGTGCGAATACCACTCGTTCCCTCTTGACTGTCCTTTGTGATTGGCCCGGTGACAAGCTCAAGCGTCTCAGGATGACCGGTCTCCGAAAGGATCCATAACCAAGTCAAGCGGGATTGAGGTTGCTCGTCGAAGACCGGATCGTCGGGAGAGCGTGCTCTCGCCTTACCCCTGTCATCTTTGCCTCAATACTATGACTGCGAAATTTTCTCGAAGAATCCAGGGACTGCCCATGGTCGGAACCTCGCCTTTCCTAGGTACAGAACAGTTCGAACGTCGAGGAGGCTGACAGAGCGAATTAACGGACCGCTAGAGAACGTGACTGCGCTTGTCTAATAGCATGAGGGCAATACGAGCACTCGCATATGCTCCCAGCAGCGGATGTGATTAGCCTGCGTTTTCTGGCGATAGACCTCGAGGAGAAATAGTGAGAGCAGGAGTTTCGAGGGTCGGCGATGAGCTCCAGTCCATGTCCAGAACGCTGCTGGCGAAGCCACATCGAAGACTCAGGCGAGGTTTCTCTACGGGAGTCTGGAACCAGTATCCCTGATAATGCTTACTGATGGATAAGCTACCAGTTTACTCAGCAATTGCCACAGAAGCGTCGCCTGTTTTGGGTAAATACGCGCTTGACCATCAGAGCCACACGTCGCGCGAAGCGCCTCCGGGTCAACCACCTCACACGTGCCCTGCTGCGCTTGCCACAATTCTCACCGGAACCATTTCCTCTCGGGACGCTCTGCCTCTTACCGTTCGACTCGAGCTGGAAACACCGCTCGAAAAATCCATTTCTACGGCTTTCAAGGTGGCGTTGTCGGTAATATTCATCCTCTACTAACCGGCGTCACAGAGGACAATGGTCCAGCCTGAATTGTACGCTTGAACTTACCATTCAATGTCGCCTCCCACCACGACCCTGGTGGCAGTGCCCACCTCCCATCACTCTCCTTTGTGCTTTATTCCCTAATCAACTTATCGATGAGTTCTTCCGCCTCCTGCTTCTCTTCTTCGTGACGGATCAATCACCCCTCCGCCTGGCGATGCCCACTTCCGTATGTGGCCCGCATACGGATTGTGGTGGGTATAAATACGGCTGGCCTCTTTATGCTTCTGGGGAGACTCAGTGTCGCTTTGACTCTCAGTCCGGTGCAGGATACCATATCCTCTCCTATACCCTGGCAAGCAAGCATCGTCGTTGGTCATCGTACTACCCCGGACTAAACCACCATGCTCAAAAACTACCCGCGCTACGCCGTGCAAACCGGCTATATCTCCAAGCCCCGGCCACTCTCGTAAGCCTCCCTCCCCTTCCATCGCGTGCCACCGAACCTAGCCTAACCTAACCCAGCGCGCGCCCGTCAAGAGGCCGCCCAGACGCGCCTCGCGCCCTCGAGAACCAGCGTGCTGATTCCCGGTCAAGGTCAAGGTCTCGCTCTCGCTCCCCCATACGCCCGCGCCTCCCCGCCTGGGTCTGGAAACGCCTCTTCCGCCGCAGCCGCAAGCCCGACATCCCCGCGCGGCCCACTCGCGTCTCCCTCCCCCCACCCGCACGTTCCAGCCTGCGCAGCCGCAACAGCGCCTCCCGCTCTTCAGGGTCGGAGCCCAATACCGCGGCGAAGAGAGTGACGTTCGTCGATCAGGAATGAGCTGAGAACTCGGATTCATCCGCGGGTATTCTGAAAGAGGTTGGCCGGGCGTGCCACCGGATGTGCACGCTCGTTATGACTGTTGTTCTTTGCGGGCTACTGTAGACTATGGAGGGTTGGACGATGCTTGGGTGATTACTGCTTGTCTATATATGGAGGTGTAATGTGTGGCTCTGTTGTATCCGTAACTTCTACCAAGGGTCATTCGGTTGAGCATCTGTATGTCTTTCAGGCCATGGGGAATCAGTTGAGATCGCGTGCACCACTTTAGATCTTCCATACGCCCCAATGGACTGCGCCAGCCGACGTAAAAAAAAAGAATTGCAGCAACCGCGAGTTGCCCTGCTGGCATGACCAGGAGTTGACGGTTGATTTTTCGACTAATCAAACGCCTCGATTCTCCGTAAAATATATGCACTAGTCCATAGGGGCTCAGCCGGGAATTGAACCCGGGACCTCTCGCATCTTCGGCTGCCACAGCCTGGAATAACCCGAAGCGAGAATCATACTACTAGACCACTGAGCCTTATTAGACTTTGTCGTTGTTAAGGTCAATATCTCCCAAGGCTCTCAACGCCTATCCCGATAACGCAAGTTCACTACACACTACTCCATAACCCATCTACCGACAGCTTTACAGCCTCCAATATCGGGATGCAGCAAAACAGCGGCCAGCCAGTGCTCTAGTAGTCTTCGTCGCTTATCAAGGAACGTCGGGCGGTACTTCGCGAGAGCGGATTTCGGCGGGAGCTGCGGGACAAGGTGGTGGAGGTTGCGCTGGACGAGAAAGGTTAGCAGTATGAATGAGGGGAAGTGGGGCAGACATACGGGGAGGGTGAGGAGGAGGTTGGTGTAGAGCTTTTCAAAATCTGAAAAGCGCTTGTGTGCGTGGATTACGGTGCCCTGCGCAGATCATTCAACACCAGCCCGGGGCATAGAACGGCTGTCAGGACTTACCTCCTTAGTTTTGATAACACAATCATACACTGAGGGAGACTGAGCCACCTCCATTGCGTATACAGGCGAGTGTACACACCGACATACGCGCCGCCTAATTTGTCGCCAACGCTTGTCCAGCCACTGATCTTCACGTCCCTTGCGAACGCCATGTTCTCTCCCACATGATCTTCCAACCATATGTCGTTCGAAAATACTGAAGGAGGCCGCGGACGCCGTTGTAGCGGTGACTCGGGAGGGGAAGAGTAAGCGGGTGGGCGTACGGGGACCTGCAGGGTGGCATGAGCCTCTTACATTCTACCACTGAATTTCGGGCTCGACTCACGTCGCAAAGCTCGTCATATAATCTGGACTCCTCTTCGACGTCTATTTTGTTCGGTATCAGGACCAAAAGACTTCGGCTATTCTTGAACGGATGGCTGGCGCTATCACGGACAGGCTGCGCTCGGAGATCGGGCATCGAGTCGGCGTGATGAACGGTCGAAGGAGCCATGAGACCAGAGAACACAAACAGAGCAAAGAAAGGAACGTGGGGGGTCCAAAGGACAATTATAAGCAAGCAGGCCAACGTCGCAGCCGTGGAGTGCGGACGAGGAACAGGCCAGAGACACCGCGATCGGTGGTCGGCCGCCATCATCGTGCTGACGTCAGCGTGTATCTCATTCCAAGTACCGGTCGACGAGTGCGCTCTCAAGGCGGCGAGGTCGGTCATGAGGGCGCCGTGGAAGGGCTTGTGGGGGCCTGTTGGTCCGCAGACAAGAACTGCGTAGCATTATGGTGAGCAGGAAAGCGATAAAGTTGAAGCCGTCCAAGTTATCCGAAGAGCTCTCTATTACTTAGTACAATAGATCCCCTGAGTTGCTCAAGATCTGCAGAAAAGCTGGAGACATTTAATATACTATAGCATTTGGGTAGTTTTGCAAAGCTCTCTGTAAATCGACGTGTTGCGCTCAGTTCGCTGGCTCTTGCGTCAGGTTTTTTTCATGGCATCGTGTAGCACACTTCTATGTACCTAACTGTGATTTTTTTGTATTTTAATACGTGGTGTAGAGGATGCTGGACAGATGCCGGGGTGTGCAGGGTGTTTTGCAAAAGTTTGTTACGCGTGACATCCCCGCGAGATCCATCACGTTTTTGTCACGATCCGCCTCTCGAGGTTTTGCAAAACAGCATCGCTATAGCTACATCCTTGATCTCTTCACACTCGGGCTGCTTGAGTAGCTCAATGTATGGTACACCAGTATAGTCCAAACAAAATCCCGGCAAAAAACCATGGAATGGGTACCAGATCTAGGGTTCACACGGTCTGTAGGCAGTTGCAAACACCCTCCTCTTCCTCCCTCTCCATGACCACTCGATATTTCCATAAATCAACTTGACAGAGGGTATCTACTAGTCTATATCTACATGTCTAAAAAGTCTCTGAATTTTTTTATTTGGTATAGAGCTCTCTCTAGGGGCTGCGGTAGTTTTGCAAATTTTGCAAAACTACCCAAATGATAGTTTAGGGGATTTTCTACTTGTCATGCTCTAATCTGAATCATGTGCAATTCGTGCGGGTTATTCAGCCACAAACATATCCCAATATGGATTTACTACTTCCATCTGTGGTGGACTTTCACATGGTTTAGGAGATCCCAATACTTCGATATTGGGGTCCCTTTTTCGTTATCTCGTTTCTGTCCCTCGCTCAACTTATAAGCCAACGATTCAACGCTCGTGTAAGTTACCGCCTCTTTTTCTTTATCCCATTGTCATATTTTCGCAATCCTATCGCTGGTCCCGAGCTACCGCCTGACTCTTGAATGCTGTGAGAGTTGACCGTCTAATTCCATTTGCATTCAATTCACCACTGGATCCAGCACTGGGCATGATAGGCATCTTTATTATGGCTTTGCCAGCGATTCGCTTGAGCAGCGCCAGGGGCTCGCCAAACCTTCGACAGTTACGCCATCGACTTGAATTGGGTGCCCGCGTATGTTCTGCAAATCACCTCCACAATACTCTCAAAGTCATCTGTTTCTGCATTCTACGTATATTTCTCTCATATCATATCACCTTCACAAGCGGGGTTGAGAGGCCTACTGTATACGTCGCCTCGTCGCCACGGGACCCGCCATTTTCCCAGCTACACCATCATCGTGATGACGTCAGATCTTAGACTCTCCAGTTGACTGTGTCCTGCTCGAGTTCCTTGCTCTCGCTGTTAAACGTTAAACATTGAAAGGCTCTCTGCGGCAACTCTTGAATCTGTCTGGTATCTAAACTGCGTACCGAGCGGATGAATGGAATGAAAGGTGGCTACACGTGTGCGAGCTGCGCGGGGCCGTCTCCCCAGAACTGCTTTGTGCATGGTCTTCTGCTCCTGACCACGTTGGCCCAGCGTCCTTAAAGACGCGGTACGGGCTGCCTCTTGTCCTCGTAGACTGGCTCTACCTTTGCTCTCTCGCAATACAGTAACACTGGTATGTCCGACTTTATCGAGTATCGCAACCAGGACGCGCGGCTGGAACCCGCGTACCCCCGCCAGGCGGAGAGCTACGCCTCCGACGCCTACTCCCACCAACACAGGCCGTCCAACTCGAAGCACTCGCGGCGCACCCAAGCCAGCTACGCGAGCAACGGCACATGGATTCCCTACCCCGATTACCCGCCCGCACCGACGCCCTACCGCGCGCACTCGCCCGGTCCTGCGTCGCGCGACACCCAGGCGAGCTTCGGCACCACCTGGGACGCAAATCCCCAGCAGTACCCTCCCCCTCCTGATGCCATTCGCCCGCCGTCGCCCGCAATGACAACCCGGACAAGAGGCCAGCGGTCCGAGACTGGGGAGCCCGAGTTCGAGTACATGTCCGCAGAAGCGGACCCGGAGATGCAGCACGCAGAGACGGTCGAGGAGGTCGACGAGATCGGAGACGTGATGGGACTCCCGCCGGACGACGGACACGGTAAGAGCGGCAAGAAGCGCTTCGTGGGCGGCTTTGTCTCTGGCCTGAAGAAGCTGCCCAGGGCGGTGCTCTGGGGCCGCAAGCACGCTGCGGAGGAAGAGCCACCATTCCGGACGACCTTTCCCCAGTTCGAGCCCACGCCGCATATCAGCAGCAGCTTCGTGCAGATGGACGTGCCGGTGCCCTCAGAGCCGCGCATGCCCACGCCCGCTCTGTCCAAGCATTCGTCACACCGCTCTCGTGTCGAAGGCAACGGCAATGCCGCGTCCTCGTACGCCCACGGCGACACCGACTCTACCGCCGTCCACCGGGACGCCGGGCCAAGTCGCATAGTGACAGCTACCACACCCGCCCCCCTCGACCTCGCCTCGCCGAATCTGCGCCCGACGTCCGACTACGACAAGATGCCCACTCCCCCGCGCACACCGACCGCGCCGTCGATCACCTCGTACCTCACGCGTGTGCACCGTTTCCTGAAAGAGCTGAGCAACTTGCCCTGGGTTGCGTCTGCGACGGGACGCGTCGCAGCGGACTACTTTCCCGGCGAGAACCCGCGCAGCAGATACCTCTACCCGCGCTACCGCGAGCGCGAGGCCAACCGGACGTGGTACACGAGCAAGCACAAGGACGTCGACCTCCTCAGCGGCGAGCGCGACGTCAACTCGCGGCGCACGACGCGCACCACCACCGACACGCGCTACCGCGACCGCGACCGCGAGCCCGCCCACCACCGCTCGCGCACGCACCGCTCGAACACGACGTCGCAGGCGAACCCGCACCGCCGCCCGCGCCGCGCCACGCGGTCGTACACGCTGTCGCACCCGAACACGCGCTCGTTCGCGTCGGGCTCGTACACGCTCTCGCGCGCGACGAGCCCCGGCGGCGTGCCGGTGCCGCCGCTGCCGACGATCGCCTCGCCCACCGCGTCGCACCTCGCGTTCATGGACCCGCAGCGCTACGCGCAGGTGTCGTACCCGTACGGGTACACCTACTCGCCGACGTCGCCGCAGCCGATGTATCTCATTCCGGGGCCAAGCCCGCCCAGGCAGGATGGGCAGGCGCAGGACGGGTCTCAGCAGGGACAAGGGCAGGCGCCGGTGCCGGTGCAGCCCGCGATGCCGGTGTACCTCGTTGCTGGGCTGCCACCTGGGGCTGTGGGTGCACCGCCAGGTTTTGTGTCTACGAGTCCAAGGCAGCATGTGAGGAGCGGGACGCCGACTCCGAGGGGTGGCAGTCCCAAATCCGTGCAGGGATAGGTTGCTTTGTGGTAATTTATTGGGACTTGGTTGCGGGTATATTGCGACGAGTATGTATCGCTGTCCGATCGTACAGCAAGAGGTATATTATACTGGCAGGACGAGATGCACTGATGCCGACGGTCGGGGATTAACGGGTTTGGCTGGGGCCTGATTCCCGCGAGAGGCAGTTAGGCGTCAAAATTCTCTAAAACCAGATGCTTCTGAACGCAAGGAGTGGTATAACAGCGAGTACGATACAGATTTCGTGTGGGTTTCGTATGCTCCATTGACTAAAAGTCTTATCCCGAGCGAGCCCTTCCATTCTGGGTGAATATTGGGGTACGGTCAGGTGACCTCATAAAACGCGTCTGTCGACCGAGCCACTGCCTCGCGGTCTATCGTTCTATTTGATTATCAGTACTCTTACCAGCCATCAAGCTGGAACCTGCAGCTTAGTGCACTGCGAAAGGCCCCTCTACTATGGCCCCTCAATCCGCGAAACCTGAATGCTGGCGTTGCTTCCAAGTGCCGGAGAAGATATTTAAATGCTCACGTACGTATGGTATGCCATCTACATGTCCATTCTCTGACAGCCGTGCAGGTTGCAAAACTGCCATATATTGCGTACGTGTATGAATAGCATGTCAAGTGCCGTTTTTTCTTGGTTGACTATAGAACCAGGGGAAGGAATGCCAGAAAGCGCACTGGCAATTGCACAAAGACGCGTGTGCAATCGAGGCGGAAATGGGAAACGTCGAGGGTGACATAGGCCAGCTAGTGAAGCAAATGCGCAAATGGGCCGTTGTACGTTTCCTCTATACGTCCTTTCTTGCTTCCGCTCACCGTCCGCGCGCGTCCCAGATCCACCGCGGCGTCATCGACCTCGCCGTCTCGCACGCCCTGCAAGTCGAAGCCTTCCCGGACCGCATCTTCACGCACTACCTCATGCTCACCCTGAAGCACCACCCCTCCGCGAAGCCCGCCTCCCGCTTCTCCGTCTTCTCCGCGGCGATCCTCCCGCTCCCGCCGCTCGAGCTGCGCCCGCCGTACGTGCGCGCGCAGGTCGCCGACATCGTCGACAAGGGCGGGCTCGGCATCGCGTACTGCTCGCTCGTATGCGGGGCCGCGCAGGTCCCGCACGGCGCGGCGGTCATGGGAAGGTTCGAGACGCGCGTGCTCCTCCGGAATTGGCTGGACATCCTGAAGGACGTCACGGAGGGACGCGTCAAGGTGGATGACGTGCGCCAGCTCACGTGGATAAAGCCTCGGATAACGGACAAATTCTTGGATAAGGAGGAGAAGTGTGAGTCTGCCAGGCTGCGCCTCTTGCAGGAGGATACTCATGCCCTCGCGCAGACGGTGCTATTAACTGGTCCAGGAGTGGTATCTCGGGCGAGATTTTATCCAAGGCCGATCCCAACTTCCGCGAGCCATTACCGGACTCCTTTTGCAAGAGCACGCAAAGGATAGTACAGTTGATAGAGTCTGGGGCTATACCCCCTTGTCCCACATGATTTGTGGGTACAATTGTCTCTTGCCTTCATGACCATCGAATGGTACCAGATGGGACCCTATATCATGTATATACCTCCGGAGCGTCTTGTATCCATACCCTCATGTACTCCATCGTGTAATTGTTCTTCGAACTATATATCAGCAGTAGATCTTGATAGATGTACAATGCACAAGAAGGTCTCCCTCCACTGAGAGCATGAAGGACGCACGGCGTCCCATTCATCACAGCTACGTACACAGTACATACAAGAGAGCATTGTAACTATCGATACAGATAAAAACATGAACCAAATAGCCGTATCGTACACTCTCCAGCAAAGCCTCAAGCCTCGTCAAAACAAATCGACCACAGGCCGACCACCCACCCACATCAGCTCAACCAATACGGTGGGCTCATCTCATCCAAGGGACGGGGCAAGGGAACTCAGTTCCCCGACCCCGTCAGCCCGCCTTGCGCGCCCGTCGCCGCGATCCTTGCGAGCGCGTCCGCGGGCGTCGTGCACGTGATACTCGTGCCCGCGCTGTTCACGAGCGTGAGCGCGGCGCACGTCAGGCCCGCGGCAGTGTTGCACGCCGTCGTCACGTACTTGCCGCCGACGCACTGCGCGAAGCTGCTGCCGATGCACGCGTTGTCGCCCTCTAATCGCGATGAGTATTCCAGTAGGAAGACAAGGGGGGGGGAGGGAACGGGGAACGCACCGTTGCACGACGAGTCGGCGGTGAGGGTTGGGAACTTCGCGTTCAGCTGCTGCGCCGCCTGGCCGTTGGCGAGCTGGAAGCTGCCGCCGCTGCTGGAAGACGCAGTGGAGGCAGCGGCAGAGGCAGTGACGGATGCAGCGGCGCTCTCCGAAGCGGCAGCTGTGCTAGATGCAGCCACGCTAGCAGTGGCAGCGGCAGCGGCACTTTCAGTAGCAGAGGCAGCTACACTCTCAGAGGCGGCTGCACTGTCGGTAGCGGAGGCAGCAGCGCTAGCAGTAGCAGAGGCAGCATCGCTCGCGCTCCCTGTCTCCTCGCCTTCATGTCCGTCGTTACAGTCCTGCAGTCGCACTACTAGCGGCGCTACCCGCTGCACTAGCCGTACTCGTCGAGATACCACTTGCAGAAGCCGTCGAGTGACCCACGCCCGGGTCGGACGTGACATCCGTGAGCTGGCTCCCGTCCGCAATGGGGCCAGACGGGTTCGCGGGGCACGAGCCTACAGAGCTCAGTGGGGCGCCCATGCCGAAGGGGATCATGCCGTTCGCGCCGACCTGGAGGCCGCCAACGAAGGTCGTCTTGTCGGCGGACGGGTACTGGCACTGGTAGAGCCCGTTTAGCTCGGTGTTCTTCGGGGCTTGTTGGCAGTACGGGACGCCCTGCGACGTCGGCTGTATTTAATATTCTCATCAGGAAAAAATCAAAGAGGTGGCTGGGTTAGAATGGGAGGGCAGAGAGGAAACGGCACGCACAGAGTTGCGCGGCTGCTGCGCGAAGATCTGCGCGAACTTGACCATGTCGGCGTCGCTGTTGAGCTGCTTGGCAAGGTCGACCATCGCGTCGGCCGCGTTCTGCTGGTCGCAGGGCCCCGCGGCTGCGAGGAGGGTGCCATGTCGACGTCGTTGCTGAGCTGCTTGGCAAGGTCAACCTTCGTGTGGGCCGCGTTCTGGTGGTCGCAGGGCTCACCGCGTTGGGGTTGCATTGCTGGCCGCCGCCTACTGCGTTCTGCTCGCATATGAATCGGGAGTGAGTATTTCGGAGGGCGTGGGTCGTAAGACAAGGAGAACGTACGGAAGCGGCTTCCCACTTTGTCGTAGAGTGGGAGATTACCTGTGCGATGCGCTTCGTGAAGGGCAGCGCGCTCGCACTGGAGGCTACGGAGAGCATAAGTACGAATGCAGTGACTTTAACCATGGCGGTTGTCGGAAAAATCAGAAAAGCATGATATTGCTATACAATGCCAGATAATGCACTGATAAGTCAATCAGGTTTGAGGAGAGTTATCGGGTTCAGAAATGGTCGAAAAGCGCGAATAAGCCTCCGTCAGGCTGATCAGGCCTGACGGGGGTTACAAGCCATTATAAGGCATGATAAGCCCGGATAAGGCCATGGGTCCCAGAAATGAGAAAAAGAGGAGCCTCTCACGCCACCCGATGGTCATCGACACCACTATCTAAGACGTCACTTTAATACAGGTACTTGGACTTTGATTCGAACGAGCGGCCTTGAGTTGAACGATGATGATATATGTAAAGACTAATGATATAACTACTACACTACGCAACAATAGCTGTGTGAGTCTCACATTGGTATATATATATCATACATACTGCCTTACCGGGCGACTCGTAATTACCGTCGTTCGCGCTCACGTCCTCTGACGTACGGCTCTTGTAGATTTCGCCATAACTTTAGACTTAGACTATAATGCTACCGTAGTCAACATGCCACCTTCAAAACACTCAATCCGTGTAAGGCTACGACCGTATTTCAAGATGTTTCCGACAGGATCTACTACAGAATTCCTGTGATATTACAGCACCACCAGAAGCCCCTACCTAATCCAAACCTGACAACACCTGATAAGGGCTTATCAGCCTTGAAACATAACATTATAATGCCTGATCAGTCCGTCAGGTTCTGTCAGGGCTTATCAGTCTTTTCCAGATTTTCCGACAGTAGGCCCAACTCGCACCTCAGCCACGTCGCCCCGATGTCCTGGCTGAGGATGGTGATCCGCAGTGTCGCCACCCAAAAGTCAGGCCAAGGGGTGCCGAATCAGGAGGGCTTCGGCCTCCATAATAAAAACGAAGTTAACGCTTTTACTTACTAGTTCAGCTACTACTAAGTTACATAGTAAGTAGGGGATCGGGAGTGACTCAATATCACGTGCCCAAGTGACATGTCACTGTTGAATTGCAGCAGGACCCCTGAAAGTACCAATGGAGGTTAGATACCAGAGGACCTGATTTCCTTCATTTTTACCGGGACCGAATTTCGCGTAATTTGGCTGTTTTTACCGGGACGCGATACCAACCTAGCCGTGTGGCTCGAGATTTACCGGGACCCAGATATCCAACCTCTGAATTTTGATCTGGTCACAAGGGTTTTTCTTAGCCAAATTTGATCAAAATAAGGCATTATCCGCTACAATATGCCATATATAGGCCCAATGTTGCCAGAACAGTGCAATCTCAGCTCAAATATTTATTGGGGCAAATTGTGGCTGCACAAGCCAGTGATTGAGTGCCGGGAGAAGCCGGGTATATACCACAATGGTATCTGACCTTGGATATTGAGCCTCAATTCTACCGGGACTAAAGTATCCGGCCTCTTGGGCGCTTCGCCACATTTTACCGCAACCGTATCTAACATACGGCCTCCAGACCTCACTTTTTTACGGAATTGGTATCTAACCTCCATCGGTATTTTCAGGGGTCCTATTGCAGCACGTTAATCCAACGTCCTGTCTGAGGCTGTCTCAACTTTCTTCCACAGCCATGCCTGAAATATGTCTCAACGTTCTATCCATACACCCCACCGAAAGCTCACAAGTCTTTGAAATCTCGGTTGATGATGCACTGCCAACATCAAAATTAAAAAGTGCTATCGAAAACCATCTCCGGTGGCCCGAATCAACCCACTTATGGATGGTGCGTGTCATGTACTTACCTGTCCTCCAGGCTCATGCCTTCTTAGGCACCTCCTGGTATTTACTGTGAGCTTGGCGTGGTCCGCAAACAACATGCTTCAAGTTACCCGCGAGATACTCCTCTGGATGATGTACCACGCAAGTGGATTACGAAGGCTCGGGCCCGTAGCGAAGAAGAGCTTCATTTTATTGCCATCTCACGTGAGGATATGGGCAACTGAGAAGTCTCGATATGCTGACGCCGTGCAGTTGAGCCCTTCATCTTCAGATTGTACAACATGCAAACAGGCACAATCACTTCATGCGAAGCTCGCCTCAATGCTCAAGACCCAATTCGGCTGTTCGTCGGGGATGCATCAGATACAAAAGTCTACAAGGTACTATACCAATACCCACACTATCGCATCACAGCTGATACGACTCCGAAGCTGCCCCCTGAGTATCGAAGCCAAGATGCTGATCTAAGCACCTTGGACCTTACCAAACTCACCGAGGTCCGGATGGGGGATCTCCTCTGCGACCACTACCCATGGGGTCCCTTGAGTCATGAAGTCCAGTTTGTGATTGCCCCCCGTGAGTTGTGCGATGTAAGCACCAGTCCGCAGACTCTAACCTTTTGGCAGCTCCAAAGCAGCATTCTTCGGAAGACGGGGATGTTCTTGGTGACTTGCCGTCCCTCCGTGACGAACGAATGGAATTTTTCGAATCTCATCCAATGAAGCCGCCTTCATCGGAGACCGTGGAAGGCTCATGTGAAGCAATGGAAACGGGGCGACCCTTGGATACCACAGTACCGGCGTCCCTATTCGACAAGATATTGTTCGAACTGCATCACGATTTGTCGAGTGCTACGCCGAGCGATACTGACTGGGAAGTCTTCTATGAGCTGCGGCGAGTGATGAAAGGGATTTTCACGAAAGAGCTGTTTCGCCGGAATGCCTTTCATACAATCTTGCAGCAAGTTTTGCCAGATCTCCCTCGTCCGGGCCGGATCGGTCCCTATGAAACTGATGGCGATATGTGCGTGCCCATGAGCGGCGCACGTTTCATTTACTGGATCGACGAGATCAAGAACGAACTGGTAAAAATCCACACTGAACCCCATGTCCAAGCAGCCCGTTGTTATCTTGAACATTGTCGAGAATGTACCTTGAAGGGAATGGATTTAGTTCATTTTAATTTCCCCGCAATATTGATCTGTCAGATTGGTAATGGCTCATGCGTCTTGCACTCCTTGCCTGTCTGACTCTGTTTACAGGAACATTGATGATCATTTCCGTCGCCGTCTTAACGTCCAAACCTTTTGTGCAGCAGCTTGCCACTGTCTCATTGAACGCGCATAATACCGATATACAACAGATGGAGGCCGGTGCACGCGCCATCGCGGCGCTGCGCATTGCTGCTGCGTCCTTATCGGCACAATACCCATCACTCTTGGAGGACCGTTCTCGGCAGCCAAAATACCCCTTCCCGCGCTCGTTCATCCTGGACGGAACGATCGTCAACTTCACCTACGTCAAAGCTCTGTACCCGCAGAAACGGCTGTATCGTGCTGACTGCGAGTATGAAGGTTCGCCGCGGAAGGTTATTGTCAAGTACACGCTGCGCTACTCGCGACAAGCACACGTTCGCGCCGTCGCCCTAGGATTCGCCCCGCGCCTATTGGATGTCCAGGAATTCTACCAGTGGTATATGGTCGTTATGGAGGACGTCTCTGCAGACTACACGCCTTTGTATGCATGGCAGGGAAAGACGGAGGAGCTCGAGGAGCCGGTGAGGGAGGTCGTTGACAAGCTCCATAACGACGGGTTTGTCCACGGCGACGTGCGAGACGTCAACATCCTCGTTCGCAATGCCGCGTCGGATGGCCAGCCTAGGATTCTGCTGGTCGACTGGGATTGGGCTGGGCGAGAAGGCGAGGTCCGCTACCCGCGAAACATCAGCCCGGACATTCCTCGACACCAGGATGCCGTCGCTGGTGCCATAATCAAGAGATCTCACGATGTGAAGATGGTCGATGACCTTTTTCCGAAGACCCATCCACAGGACTCATAGACTTTGCATTGTATACTACCAGTCTAACAGGTAATCCATATCCTTGCCGTTCACAAGAGCAATCCACGCACCTGAGTACCAAGTGTGACAGGCATAAAATCTCATGGCTGGCCGCATGCACAACCGTATGCCCGGGGTCCGAAGACCACAACAGTCTCAAAGCCAATAGGCACCCTGCCGCTGCACACATATACACTTTGCGAGTTCGAGTAGCCACATTGTTAATGGTTGAACAATCGCAGCAAAGTATGCGCAAACACCATCCCGTGTTCAACGTTCATGCAGGGCCCTGACACACTCCGCATCCATCACGCTCCCCCCAGGCGCAGCGAGGTACCTCACGCCGCTCCTCCTCGCACGATGCACATTATCCGGGAACGGAAAGAACGCGTCGCTCGAGCACGCCGCGCCATCCAGCTTCGCGATCCACTCCTGCCGCTCCTCCTCCTCGAGCGGCTCCGGCACCTGCTCGAACAGGCTCTCCCACTGCGCCCGCTCGCCGCCCTCGAGCCGCTCTGGCTCGCCGTCACGAACAGGTCGATCGCCTTCGCCTTGTCTGCGCGCTTCGTGTGCCCCTCTTGACCGGCAGCGCGAGCACGCGCGCGTGGTGCCGCACTGGTAGCCACCACGCGTCCGCCTTGCTGCCCGCGAGGCGCGTGCAGCGGATGCGCGACTGCTGGCCCGCCCCGAGCGCCCCATTGCGCGCGTACGCGACGTTACTGGACTGCGTGTACTTGCTATAAGTTGGTCCAAATGCGCTATCTCAGGCGCGATCCTGTTCAAAACGGATCTCAACTTTCCCCGAGCCGTTACCGGGATCTTTTCGTAAAAGCACCCAAAGGACTGTAGAGTTGGTCGGATCCGGTGCTATATTTCCTTGTGTCCGATTGTCTATTACCAGTCATCCTTGGTGGTACTATGAGGAACCGCTCACTCATTCATGATACCTCCGGAGCATCTTGTATCCATACCCTCGTGTACTGCATCGGAATCCATTGTTCTTCATCTGTATGATGATTATTTGGTAGAATCCACGCTTCCTTGTCTCACAACATGCTGCGATGGATGGACGACACACAAGCTAGATCAGGTCCGACAGAACATGAAGGACGCACGGCGTCGAATTCATCAAAGCTACGTACACAGTACATACAAGAGAGCATCGTAACTATCGATACAGAGAAAAACACGAACCGAATACACATCTCGTACACTCTCCAGCGCAAAGCCGCAGGCCTCAAGCCTCACAACAAATCGACCACAGGCCGACCACCCACCCGCATCAGCTCAACCAACACGGTGGGCTCATCTCATCCAAGGAACCGGGCCAGGTAACTCAGTTCCCCGACCCCGTCAGCCCGCCCTGCGCGCCCGTCGCCGCGATCCGCGCGAGCGCGTCCGCGGGCGTCGTGCACGTGATGCTTGTGCCCGCGCTGTTCACGAGCGGGAGCGCGGCGCACGTCAGGCCCGCGGCGGTGTTGCACTCCGTCGTCACGTACTTGCCGCCGACGCACTGCGCGAAGCTGCTGCCGATGCAGGCATTGTCGCCCTCTACGAAGATGAAAATGTGAGTCCTAGTAAGGAGGGGAAGGGAGAGGGAGAGGAAACACGTACCGTTGCACGACGAGTCGGCGGTGAGGGTTTGGAACTTCGCGTTCAGCTGCTGCGCGGCCTGGCCGTTGGCGAGCTGGAAGCTGCCGCCGCTGCTGGAAGACGCAGTGGAGGCAGCGGCAGAGGCAGTGACGGATGCAGCGGCGCTCTCCGAAGCGGCAGCTGTGCTAGATGCAGCCACGCTAGCAGTGGCAGCGGCAGCGGCACTTTCAGTAGCAGAGGCAGCTACACTCTCAGAGGCGGCTGCACTCCCGGTAGCGGAGGCAGCAGCGCTAGCAGTAGCAGAGGCGGCACCGCTCGCAGTACCCGTCTCCTCGCCGTCATCTCCATCGTCGCAGCCGTCCGTCTCAGAGGGCTCCGAGGCGGACGCGGATTCAGTTGCTGAGGCAGCTGCAGTTTCGGAAGCCAATGCACTCTCGGAAGCGACAGCTGTAGCAGACGCAGCAGCGGTCTCTGTGGCAGAAGCAGCAGCAGTCTCAGTAGCAGAAGAGACAGCAGCGCTACTGGTTTCCTCGCCGTCATCCCCGTCGTCACAGTCGTCTGTCTCCGTCGGCTCCGAAGCGGAAGCCGACCCCGTCGCGGATGCCTGCACGCCCAGGTTGGCGCCAGTAGCAGCGGCAGCAGTGGACGTCTCCTCGTCGTCGTCCCCGTCGTCGCAGTCGTCGGTGGGCGCGGATGTGGCAGAGGATGCGGTTGCAGACGCGACACTCGACACCTCAGCTGCAGCAGCCGTACTCGACACGCCCTCACTGACCGCGCTACCCGCTGCACTGGCCGTACTTGTCGAGTTACCACCTGCACTCGCCGTCGAGTTACCCACACCCGGGTCGCTCGTGATATCCGTGAGCTGGCTCCCGTCCGCAATGGGGCCAGACGGGTTCGCGGGGCACGAGCCGGCGGGGTTGAGCGGGGCGTTCATGCCGAAGGGGATCGTGCCGTTCGCGCCGACCTGGAGCCCGCCAACGAAGGTCGTCTTGTCGGCGGACTGGTATTGGCACTGGTAGAGCCCGTTGAGCTCGGCGTTCTTCGGGGCTTGCTGGCAGTACGGGACGCTCTGCGATGTCGGCTGCATCGCGTAGGGAATATGTTAGTGTGGGGAGTGAAAGGAAGGGCGAGGGACGCACGGAGTTGCGCGGCTGCTGCGCGAAGATCTGCGCAAATTTGATCATGTCGGCGTCGTTGTTGAGCTGCTTGGCGAGGTCGACCATCGTGTCGGCCGCGTTCTGCTGGTCGCAGGGCCCCGCAGCGGCGAGGAGGGTGCTGAAGGCGCTCACCGAGGTGGGATTGCATTGCTGGCCGCCGCCTGCTGCGTTCTGCTCGCATATAAAATTGAGAGTTAGTATTTCAGAGGCAATGGGTCGCAAGGCAAGGAGAACGTACGCAAGCGGCTTCCCATTTTGTTGTAGAGTCGGAGATGACCTGTGCGATGCGCTTCGTAAAGGGCAACGCGCTCGCACCGCAGGCTACGGAGAGCGCAAGCACAACTGCAGTAACTTTGACCATGATTGCGGTTGGAGTGGTAGTAGATCCTATAGAATCCTCTCCCGTTCGGCAAAGAATGTCAGGCTAGTCGATCAGTACTAAAACCGCGACTGCGAAGAAAGAATGGGGTGTCGTGAAGGACAGTGGTGAGCGCTGCTCAGGCGGGGGACGTGGCGGGAGGAGGAAAGGGAAGATTGTTTGGATGATGAGAACGGTTCGAGTTTTGGGTGTATATATAGGAGATGAGCCGGGAATGGAACAATGCGAGAATCGAGAACCGTGGAGCTGCTTTGGCTTTTACGGTACATGATATATTTAGAGCCGGGTCCCGATATACAGCAGTTCGCTGATCCAGCAGTATTTCGTCAATAACAGTTGGAGATGAGATGGGTTCTCCCGCAATTGTGCGGTATGTTTTCTGACATATGGAAGACGTGGATGGCCGGGATACGGACGGGATGGATGGGTTTGTGGGATTGCTATTCTGCCCGCGAAGTCCCGAGTCTATTTTAGGTTTTGACTGCGCTTTCGGAGTTGATCCGAGATCTTGTCGTTTTGATCAATCCACGTTGCGTAAACGCGGATTCCAGCGAGATCACTCACGTGACGCCGGCGCGACTCGATCTCGAACTGGGCCGAGCGCGTCGGACGCGTCTTGTCAGAGCTACGGTCGCAGGCCTACCGTCACTCGTTCCCCATAAACATTTTTGGTAATACTTTTACTTACTTGTAATTCTTACTCTCTCTTTCATGGCTCCTCGACCCACGAAACCCGAATGCTGGCGGTGCTTCCAAGTGCCCGAGAAAATACTCAGGTGTTCCCGTATGTTCCTCCTCTCCATAGCTACTGCACAGCCGTTACTTACGCATGAGTCGGCCTTGATCATGGCACAATATTACAGGCTGCATGACTGCCATCTACTGTGTACGCACCCGAGATACTTGCTCCGCGTGATAAACTAACCGGCGTGGTATACAGGGAAAGGAATGCTACAGGAAACACTGGAGGCTCCACAGAGACGCCTGCAAAGTCGAGGCCGAAATTCGAAAGAGCGAGCAAGGTCAGCTCGTTGCCGAAATTCGCAAATGGGCACTCGTTCGTCTTGCAACTTTCCATCTTCTTCCAAACACTCACCTTCTCTTCATAGATCCATCGCGGCATCCTCGATCTCGCCACCACGCACGCGCTCCAACTTGACGTCTTCCCTGCACGCATCCACACCCACTTCCTCTCACTCGCCCTGTCCCGCCCGTCTTGTTCGTTCCCCCCGACCTCGCCCGCATTCACGATCGCCGCCGCAACCATCCTCCCCCTGCCCCTCCCTGCTGCTCCGGCGCTGAAAGCCCAGACCGCCGAGATCATAAAGCGCGGCGGGCTCGGCGTCGCGCAGTGCGTGCTGACCTGCGGGGACGCCCGCGTCCCCGATGCGTGCGCGGTCCTCGAGCGCCCACGAACAAGGGTCGTGCTGACGAACTGGAAGGACTTGCTTAAGGGCGTGGTAGAGGGGACAGTGCGGGAGGAGGAGCTGGCCCCGCTGGGCCTAGTCAAGTATCGGATTACCGCGCGCCTCCTGGACCGCAAGGACAAATGTGCGTTCTATGGCACTTCTCGTGGTTGATGCGCTGAAATGGAAGTGAGTGTGTAGATGCTGCGATTACTTGGTCCAACGGCCGAGTTACCGGGCATACCTTGTCGAAGATGGACGGTGCCTTCTGCCAGCCCTTGCCTACCAGACTATAAGCTCTTCTTTGTCCACTAAAGTCCTGCATATATACCCTACCTTCTTTTCTAGTCTACTACTAGGACACATTCTACATCATGTATAACATCCTCATCTGTATCCCTAGCACACACCTGTATCCTACGAACCTGTATTATGTCACTACTTCAGACGCAATCCCTTGTCACAGGTGTTCCTACATGGGACAACACACTGCAGCATTCCATGCTGATGCGGGGGGGGTGGGATGGGATCTATTAAGTCGAAGTCGAATCTTGTGAAGTACCTCCAGCCACCGCGTGCGAACTCCGCATCGCTTCACCCCCTCCCTCAATTCTCAAGATCATCCCAAATTCCCATTCCTCCAACTCACACCACCCACCCAACGATGCCTTCCTCGTCCCAGTCGACAGACCCGCCCCTCATCTCCAAGCGCCTCCACATCTCCGGCGTCACCCCCGCCATCACCCCCGCCGACCTCAAAGCCCGCCTCGAGGCGTTTGGCATCACCGCCACGGCCATCGAGGGCTTCGACAAGCTCGACGGCGTCGGGCGCCCGAGGGGGTTCGGATACGTCGACGTCGTAGGGCGGGAGGACGGCGTGAAGAGGTGTGAGTATTTTTCTTCCAAATATTCTACTAGCGGTGGGGGGGATAGGAACGGTTGACTGACGGATCGGCGCACTGGGAAGTTAGGTATGACCGCGCTCAGCGGGGCGACGTGGAAGGGCGCGAAGCTGCGCCTCGGGGAGGCGAAGCCTGACTTTCGCGAGAGGTGAGTACATGACTGCCGGCACTTGTATTCTACCCGTCTCGACCACTCGCACCCATACATCTCCCCTCCCCTCCCCTCCCTCGCATCGTATCATATCTTTGCACGGTACCTACGCTCATCCCGTGCAGACTCGAACGCGAACGCGCCGCCCCGCCCCCCGCGCGTCCCCCGAAACGTCCGCGCGGCGTGCACGGCGTGCACGCGCCCTCCATGGACCCCGTCTCCCCCGAGGAAGCGAAGAGCAAGAAGGTGTTCCGCGTGACGGAGACGGGGCGCGTCGTGACGCTCGTGCGGATGCGGCCGGAGAAGCCGCTCGGTGTGCCGGAGGATGTCGGTGCAAAGGGGAAGGGGAAGGAGAAGAAGGAGAAGGAGAGGAAGGCGAAAAAGAGGGACCCGCCCACGCGTGCGCGGAGGAGGACGATTGACCCCGTGCGGTATGGGAGTGTGCATCTGAAGGGGGCGTGGATGGGCGAGGGGGGTGTGCGGGGCGTCGCTGCAGGGGACTTGGCCATGGAGGGCCTAGAAGCGGGGAATGTGAGTGAAGAAGGGGATAGCGACAGCGACAGCGAGAGCAAGAGTGAGGAAGAGGCAGAGGATGGAGAGGCGAGCAGAAGTCATCGCGTCGATGAGGAGCGACGGGATGGCGAGAGCGAGGGCAAGCCCGCGCAAGTCAAGTCCCCTGCAGTCCTCCCGCCGCGCACCGTTTCCCCGGGCCCGCCTGAGTCGGACGAGATTGCGCAGGAGAAGGCGCGCTCGCTCGGGATTTTGCAGGCCCTCTTCGGGGATGGGGAGGAGTGGGGCGGGCGAGAGAGCGTGTCGGACGTGGAGATGGAGGCGGGCGCCGGTGAGGCTGTAGACAAAGAGGACGAGGATGTGAGTATGAAGGGAGATGACGAGGAGGAGGGCAGTAACCATGAGGGAGATGCGGGTATGGATCCCGCACCGCATACCGAGGATGGTGCAGGAAAGGGGCAAGCAGATGACAGGCGTACCGCAGAGGACTCAGGGAAGGAGAAGAGTCAGACGAAGCTGAAAGATCTCTTCGCGCCGAGGGAGGAAGAGGGTGCGCCTCGTTCTCCGTCGTCTGCTTCATGACGAGCATGCTGATGATGTTCCATCAACAGTCGGGTTCTCTCTCCTAGGTCACCTTGTCATAGACGATCTGGAGCTGGACGAGGACCTCGCCCTGCCGTCCATCACCGACGTCGCACCCGCCGCTCCTTCCGCCCCTCAACCCACCGCAATCGTCCTCCCCTCCTCGCATGCCCCCAAAAAATCCCAGCCGGTCACCCTCGACCCCAAGGCTCCGCTGTTCTTCCCGCGAACGAAGGGGCGGGGGAAGGACGCGCTGGACGTGTTCAGGGAGCGGGGCTGGGTGTACGAGCCCCTGGGAGAGGAGGAGCTGAAGAAGCTGTGGGAGGAGGGGAAGGGTGAGATGACGAGGGACTGGAAGAGGAGGCGACGGGAGGCGGGGAAGGTGAGGAGGCGCAGGGGTGGTGGGGATGGGGATTAGATTAGTCGGTACGGCGGGATGGATCGGGAAAAGGCATGCTGGTGCTTGGGTACGTCTATGCTTCTCGAAGCTGTATTGGTACGTGCTTGCTGTCGGTTCAGTGATACTCGGTGTCCGAGTTGGACTTTGCAAAACGTAGCCGAACGAAAGCGGTATTTTTGCTGCTCGCTATGATCATACTGAGAGACATGACAATGTTTCATTCTGATAGCCCCGCGCCTTTGCACGCGTAGGGCCCTGATTTTCTTTTAGGTGCATGTTGCCAATCGTGGCTTAAGTCCGCTGACGCCGTCCGAGGATACTTCTGCCTCAGCCAAGTTCGGCAGGAGTATCAAACCTCTGGATACCAAGATCGCGGTGTAGTCTGGGTGAGTAGAAGTTGTTGATCTCTTTGTCTCGACGATACTGATGCTGCATTTAAGGTATTGCAATTTGGGGCTGGCGCCCGATATGAATTGACACACAGAAAGGTCTAGCGACCTGTGGCAGCATGACTGACTGCATCTCAGGGGATTAATATTCCCACATGTGCTTGATTGCCTCGATGCTCTGTATTCAAACCGTGTTGTCAGCTGATTGGGTGTTTCGTTTTATGAGTGCTTCATACTCTCGCTTCAACAACCATCTTCGTTGTCGAAGGTTCGGTCGAACATAGTAGGAAATCTCAGGCACGGCAAAGCGGTCAATAGCCAGCGGAAGGAGAGCGACGGATATGCCCCGCCGGTGCTTAGGACTTACTAGTGAAAACTATGGAGCTAAAAAAAGGTATGATATCAACAACATCAAACGCATCTATCCATCGTTCGCTCACGTGTGAAATATAGCACTCAACAAACCTAATACCCTCCCCACTGCAGCGAACTGCTATGACGGTATAAATTACCCAGAACTATAAAGCTGCGCCAGACATCGAAGCTCAAGCGCTGGAGGACAACCATCTATATCGGCCTCGGCTTGTAAATAGCCCCGATTCTGGTTACTTCGCTAAGTCTACTGCCCTCGCACTGTCTTCCGAAATCCGCAACCGGCATACAAAGCGTGCAGAATGTTCAATGATCTGTAGAATTCGAACAAACGAATAGCGTGCATAGAGTTCCTTGCAATTTCCTCTCAAGTACGTCTGTCGCGTACCCGTCACAGCTGAGCCTGTGGGTCTATCTTTGCTCCCCTCCCGAAGTCCGATGTCTGGGCGCAGCTCCTTCATCGAATTGCTGTCTTTCGATGACTATCATTACTCTTCGTCTTCGTCAAGCAGTGGGCGGTGGCAACAATGATGAGGATGACATGGCCGTAGTGACATCTCCGTCGCCGAAGTTCAACGACGCGTATTCTCCGAGCGCTGTTGCAGGTCTTGCGTCGGGACGCGCAGATCAAGAATCCAGAGTGCCATAGGATTACATGCAATGTATATTATAATGGTACACCCGTATAGTATAGAAGACCCATTACAGAGGAGGAAGAGGTCTCCGACATTGAGGACATATGTTCTTCTCGAATGCTCAGCATATATGCAGATCCCGTGCGATACAAGACATACCTTGATGGCCAACCACTGGATTATTTTATTCAGTGCCACGAATATGAGATACAAACAAGCCACGTACCCTTTCAAGACACTCTGTGTGCTACGCAAATTCATCGCGTAAGTATCATGGAAATCAGTACCGACCGACAACACTACTCACGAACAAATGATGACACGGCGCCAAACTATAATTCTTCCTCCCGCCGGATGCACCCCGGCTCACCCTATTCAGCAAGCCACCCAGGTCCAAGTCCCCAGGCTCCTTACCATCGCTAGACCTAGCTCTCTTCGAATTGACCGGGTCAACGAGGATAGCGTCCATGCATATGGCACAGTCTCCCAAGGACTGCTCCGGTGCCTCGGGGTCTGGCAGAGGTATGGGAGGGTGGTAGTCGTAAGTGGGAACATTTGAGAGCCGTTTCGGGAGGAAGAAAGCGGGTCCGAATAATTCCTGCAAACGGATGACGAGGACTTCTGCAACGAGAACAGCCGCCAAGGGCCAGAACCACTCTGTACAAACCGAGTTAATGGGGTAGGCAACGAGGCTAATCGTAACTTACCCTTTGCTTCTATATCCAAGATATTACCCTTGTAGGCTAAGAAGTCTGTCAAGGGATGCGGTGTCAAATATTTTCTTCGCAGCCAGGAAACGCGACTTACAATACGCAATAGCCAGCCGCAATATCGTCGTTCCCACCAAATACTCCATATTCATGCCACTCGTCCGTCCCCTCCTGGCGGAGCGGTAGATCTGAGGAATCCACAAGCCGGCATACATACCTCCCAACACAAACAGTGCCAGCGGGGGGTAGATACTTATACGTATGACGAAAACGATGAAAACAGCAAGCGTGAACCCTGAGACACATGAGCGGCCAGTCTCACCGCTGCTGAACTATGCACTCACATAGCTTGAATTGAGGATGGGATGTCACTCGAGAGTATATCGATCGGATACGATCCGAGAGAGATGGCGCCGAACTAACGTTGGGGGAGGGTACGCCGGGCTCGCTCTGTTGGCTCGCATCCCCGGATTCTCCTGCTTGCCTAGCTGCGGCAGGAGCCGGTACAGGCGCGGAGTCCTCTGGAGCCTGGATCTGGAAGATCAAGATGGCAAATTGCTGGAAGGGGAAAGAACGTCAGGAGAGCTGCAAGGGACGTGCCTGACTGAGATTTGCATACCGCCTCGTAAACGAACAAGAGACACGCTAGGAATGCAGGAGCGGCCAAAGAGACGGACGGCTTCCCTTCGGTGACTACAGCGAAGGTAATATGCTAGAAGGAGCGTATTGAGATAATGGCTGGTAAAGAATGTCGTGCTAGGTAAAAATTTACCCCAGCAAAGAATATTGAATCGGCTAAGGCCTGCGTCAAGAAGGACCACCGAGACAGCCGGGACAAGTTGGTCGGCGTATTTGATACATTCATTTGACGTGCGAGAAGGCCGAGCAGGCACAGGTACACGAGCGCTGCAATCCCCGCATCTACAAGCCAAGGATGTCAGCAACACTCTAGCATTTCTCACAAACGACAGCCTACATGTAGTGACCATTCTGAACCAAGCAGCACTCCTCACGCCTTCGCCGTCCTGCAGTTCCCATACAAATCCGCATTCTTTGCTCACCAGAACCCCCTCGATCTTAATTCCGGGGTCCTTCACGGTCGTGATACCGGTAGGATTGAGCATCTCTGCTTCCAGCTCTCTCATGCGGTCGCGAGGAATAGAGGTAGGCTTCAATTGCATGAAGAGAGTGAGCGAGCAGCGAGGGCGCGACTGCGATTGATCGTCTTCTGGCATGTCAGATGCGCGATATCGATGAGAGAGAACAGTACACAAGCTCACCGTTTATGACGCTGAAGTCCATCGTCCCGCTATCGAGCTGAGCCTGGAGCCGCGCGACCCGCCTCGCCATCTCAGGTTCCACTAGCTGCGCCGTAAGATTTTTGTACGGTTGCGGGACAACACCAGGCAACAGTCGGATATCAGGGCTGATGCTGAGCCAGTATAAGGCATGAGTTGTGAACAGCAGCACAACCGCTGAAGTACATACTCTCCCGGTTCCGCCAGTCCGTATACCGAACCGTTCTTCAGGAAATGCACTCCTTCGAATGTCAGGCGGAACTCTGCGCCCGTGTTGGGGTCTGTCATATCCATACGTCCCTACACACACGTAAGAGTTATGGGGCGCGAAATTCGAAAGAGCAGCTTACATGGACCATAGCGACATCCTCCCGAGGCGTCGATGAATTGAACCGCCAGCTCGTCGGAGCGAACTTCTCAGCGCCATTCCATCCTAGCTTCTTCGGCGCAGACAGATTCCACCCGCCCACACTCACTCTTTCGACGAGTTCAGTCATATTCGCACCTTTCATGAGGCTGTCCGCCAGCGGCGCCCATGCTGGCAAGGGCATTTCGGAGCTATTGAACGAATGTGGAGTGGTGATGTTGTGGAAATGGAGAGTGCATTGGATGTATCCGGTGATATTAGAGTAGTACGAGGACGTGGACGGATTCAGCTCATTCCCCGGAGCAACGAAAGAGTGGATCAGAGGTTCCAGCAAAGGCTCGGTCTCTGGCTAGGTCATTCGTTCCTTTGAATCCAATGCGATATTCCACTTCAACATTGCGCTCACCAGAGTGAAATTACTCTCCGTTCCGTTCAGCCACGCCGAATAGTTCCCCAGCTGCCAGTTATACGACCGCAGCGCATCCCGGTACTGGTTCTGAGCTACTAGTTCCGCACCATTATGGTTCGTTAAGAGAAATAGAATAAAGGATATGAATATGAATGACGAGATCGAGTTCCGTGGTCGCTGTGCTTCAACAGGGTTGTTGCCTGGAGCGGTTTCTTCGTCTCGTTCCCGAGTCTCTCCAAGACCCCCCGCGTTCATGAATTGGGAGGATAGTCGAGGAAAGTACAGATTGTTACGTTGACTTCTCGCTCAAGGAATACCAGACTGTGTGCTGTGTGAAGGACAGCGGTTCGTCGAACGTAACTGGCACGCGCTCTCGCCTCTCGGTGGCGGGGTGCTGTGGCAGCGACAATGGGGGAACCCAGGATGGCAGGTCAGTTTCCAAATCAAGCCAAAATATCTGTCGGATAATCTTCGATCACTGTGGCTGCCACTGCTTCAGTGTATGCGTTGTAGCCTCCCTTACCTCAAGCATTTCTCAAGGCCAGGCGGGCCCATCTTCTATTCTCTGGCTGATTTCCGCTTGTCCCTCAAATCTCGCGAGTTTGACATGGAGGGATCATCCAAGAAGGGCGGCAGGATGAGAGGCAATCCCAGAGACTCACCCGAAATCCGAGTCAGCAAGACGTTGTCGTGGATTCTCAGACACGGTGCACAGTCCGAGAAGATTGAGATGCGTCCTGACGGCTATGTAAGAGTATCCGACATCGTGAGCTTTGCAATCATATCCTCCGTTCATCCTAGAAATGATAGACTCCGCTGTCCTAGCTAGCCTCGAAGAAATTCCAGGGCGTGGATTTCGAGACGGTAGAAAATATTGTGAAGAACAATGACAAACAGAGATACAAGATGGTGAAGGAACCGGATCCCAAGTCCCCGACGAACGAAGAGGTATGGTGGATACGAGCGAACCAGGGTCACTCCATCAAGGTTAATATGCCCCATTACCGATACATTTCGCACATTTCTCAGATGAATTCTTCAGACAGTGGCAGTTGATATGAAGCGCATTACGTCGGCATGGGACATACCCACCGGTATCGCTGTGCATGGAACGACTCTTGAAGCATGGTCGCTGATAGGTTGGACATGTTTACGAGGTTCTCTCGTTCACACTGACAGTGCATACCGATAGCTCAGAAGGGATTATCGAAGATGAGACGAAACCATATTCACCTCGCACAGGGCGTCCCTGGATCCGGTGTCCTCAGCGGTAGGCAAGGCTTCATTGCACGGAAAACCTTGAATCGACCTGTTATTTCACTCAGGCATGCGCAGGTCTTCACAAATCCTCATCTACATCAACGTACAGAAAGCGATCGATGCCGGGATCGAGTTCTTCCTGTCCGAAAACGGCGTCGTCTTGACCCCAGGGAATGCGAAAGGGTACTTGGAACCATCTTTCTTCAAGAAAGTGGAACGCATCGAGGGCAAGAATCGAGTTCCCTTGCCGGAGTGGGATAGCCCGGATCCGGAATACGATAAGCTACAGGAGGAGGCTGCAGTCACGGTCGAGGGAATGACTGGAGGAAACCCGGACGCACTTGCAGTGCAGCCTTTACAATCTGAGCAGGCACAGGAAGTCGTGAAGTCGGAGAATTCATTAGTGGATCAAACCGAAAAGCTGTCTATATGAGTACGTACCCAGCAGGCCAGCAGCCTCTGAAGATCCTGCGGTCCAGGAAAGTTGTAGATGTACGATGAGGACTCGTAACACGATTAGATTCTGAATAAATTATGTAGTCCAAAGTTACAATGCTAGTATGCGAGCAGCGGTACATGTAGGTGTATTATGATTATTCCCTCCAATCATCAACTACTCGTCGGTTCTGGTGTAGGAGTCGATTGTGCCGGTGATTCAGGCTCCATATTTTGCAGTCGCATCTCGACCAAAAATTCTTTATCCCTGATCGTCTGCGACCATGCAGACAGCGCAACCCAAGCGTTGTTAGCAAGACGGGACAACCCGATCACGCCGAAGATGCCTGGATAGACGTGCATGACTATGTCACCGAGTCAGCTTCTTGCACTGCTCATGATAATGGAACACTCACAAAGGAAGCGGTTGTCCAATGGCAGGCTGAGCAACCGTCTGCATAGCCAGTCTACCCCGATGGGGCACAAAAGTGCTGCCAGTAGCGCTCCTGTGAGAGGGGCAATGACTTCCTTGGTGGCCTTGACGGGGTCAGGATGGGTCCATCCGTTGCGAGTAATCTGGTTATTCACGAACTCAGCATAATTGCAAGGAAACGGATAGGGAAAGACTTACATTGGCGAATCCTGCGAAGAAGCGATGATCTGGCGGATGCGCTCTCTGCGCCCGGATGGCGATCTTCGCGTATACAAGCCCGAGTGCCCACATATCTACCAGACGGATCCGGGGCACGAAGGCAGGATCCACAGTGTACCGGAAAGGTAGGATCAGATAGAACTCGAACACAAGCGCGATCAAGATAGGCAAGACAATCCCCAGAGTGAAGACCATGTATGCGATCTTCGAGAGCCAGAGCAACGTACGCTTCAGCAGATAGAGCGGCCATTCAGCTCGTGGCTCTTCGCCGCCTCTCCTTTGCCTACGCTTGTCTAGCCTGTCCACTGCGTAACCCACGAGGTAGCAGCCCCATAAGAGGTAGAACCCAAACAAGAAGCTATACCCGTCGTGGACTTCCCGTTCGATGAAAACGCCGAAGAACAATCTCCCCAGCTGGATCGGTACAATGAACACGGCAGCGACACCCGCGCATACCGCTAACCAAGCCACGAAGATGAAGGTGAGTATGCGAGTCCGGAAATTGGGCGGGATGTATACGATGGTGTAATCTGTCTTGGGATTCCTCTTGGCCTTCTGAGCTTCCTCATTTTGCACTTTGATCAGACGGGCAGCCTCCTCATTGGCGGGTTCACCATGTTCAGTGACTTCCGCCGTAGCCCTCATTTCTCTCGGCAGGGCAATATTATCATCTGCAGGGACGCGCCTAAAATGTCCGTCGCGAATGCCTTCCTCAACCACCTCCATCTTCGTCAGGCCCTGTAGACCAAAGCGGTTCTTCGGGGTGTATTCTTCGCTAGGGACGCGTTCCCCGAACATGTAAGACGTCAATCGCAACCTAGCTGCAGCATACTTCCATCCCGCGTTCGCAGCTTTTCCGAGCGCCTTGTTTGGACGGAAGTAATCCATGGTGTACGGAAGCACGATATGCAGAAACAGAAGATCTATTGGAACGTCCGACAATGGTTGTCTGATTAAATAATAGCATCAGCTGATGCAACCGTATCCGGCACGGACTGGACTACTCACCGGATCCTCCATCTTAACGGGAGGGTGGACTTGCTTGCAACGAGAACCAACGCGGAAACCGTGGCAACGCCAAAGGCAATGACGACTGCATACATAACAGCACTAACGAAGAGCTTTCGTAACTGAGTGAAGGATGGCCTTTCCAAGATATCGCGGATAGGGTGGTAGTTCTGGTCCTGTGGGTCCTTGATAAACCACATAGCACCCGGACGCATGATGCTTCTGCATCCAGCCAGCAACACGGCAAATTGATACCTGAAGAAATCTGGTGAGACAGAAAGGAGACACACTTGCAAGGTGTAGGGCTCACATGAACATGGTGCCGACGACCCAATGGTAAAATGTCGCTGTCACAGGCGCTGAACGGAAGAACATAGCGCGTGTCTGCAGAGTAGCCTCGGGAAACAGCCAGATGGTACACAAATCCAGCACCAGGCCGCATCCCAGAGGGAAGATGACTAACTCGATGGTGATGAAGCTGGCCATCTGGAAGGGAGCTGAGTTAAGACTCTAAATAAGAGTGCACTCCGGCGTACCTTCACAATGAGCAGCTGCTGGCGGACCACCCCACGGATTGCTCGCCCAGCACTTTGTGCGCTCCCCGAGCTGAGAACATTCAAGTAGAGCGTATAGTATACTCCAATAACTATGTAGCCTAGCCCGACTGCAAAGACCCTCTCGGGTATGCCGTCTCCCATTGCTAGACGAACCCATGTGTCCTGGAATTTGGCTGCTGTCTCCCGTACCCACAGCCCGAACGCAGCGAAGTATGGCTCGGCGGCACGCACGACCGCGGAGTTCGACTCCAATAATCGGTCGATCGCAGCGTAAGTGAGCGCAGGTACGCTAGGGCTGGAAACCGTCGTAGTGTTGGTTGCCTTTGCGTTTTGCGCCAGGCCGCTCAACTGTAAAGGATGAGTCAACGATTCTATTACTTACGGAAGCCTTTATGAAATACCATAGAAGTGCCATATTTCAAGTATTGGTTTCCATCGATCTAGAGATTTGTGCTTAGTACGGAGCACGAACCAATCTGAGCCACCACACTCACGATGCTGAGGATCGGCGACACAACCCATTTAGCTAACACGAATAAGGAGAGATCGACAACGGGATCGGTGATAAGACGCATAGCACGGATCGGCGAATGAATGATATGAATGAGCCTTCGCAAGTCCATCTGCCATAGAACGTCAGTAAGCAGCGGAATCGGGATAGCGCGAACCTAACGTACACAAAGCAGTGCGGTGGACTTCCCGATAGTAAACGGTATCCAAACACCGAGGCCAATCGTAGTATCGAGTATGAAGATCATAAGCGCGGCGTTCTGAAGTACGCCGTATACCGGACCACGCATTCCGATGGCTAATTGAGGCTATTAGTCCATGTTGCTGCAATAGTGCGTAGTCCTCACCCACCTTCCATCGCGCCGTCCATGTCATCTTGTGCATCGCCTTCAGGTAAGTCATTCGGGTCAACGCCTTGCGGAGGCGCCGCCTGGGGTTGCGGGGGAGCTTCAGGCTGCTGCGCCGCCTCCTGCCTTTCCTCACGGTGATGATCTCTACGCGCCGGATCCAGAACGTCCACCCTGACCAAGCCCCCATCTACCTCTTCCTCATCAGACTCCACATTCGAGGGAGGAGGGGTGAAGTCGTGTTCATGCTCATCATGGTCATGGTCGTGCTCCCCATCCTCGTGTTGCACGTCCCGCTGCTCTTCCTCCGGCAGCCGGAAGTAATGTTCGTGTTCTTCCTCGGTCACTATCTCGTCCTCGTCCAACGTCTTCTCCGGCTCCAGCATCTGCGGGTCGAAGTACCCGCCAATAAGCTGAGAAGATCCCTGCTCGAACTCCTCAGGGGCGCGATACGTTGCTAGACTAGGGGAAGTGAGAGGAGTGGCTTTCTGACTGGGAGGGACTAGCCGAGGTGACGCACGACCGCCGTTCGCCGGCGACAGGGTGACGCTCGGTAGTGGCGGCCGGCGCGGTGTACTTGGTCCTGCCCCAGGGCTCGAAGTCAAGGGGTACGGCAGGGGCGTCGCGGGGCTGGACGCGAACATGCGACTCGCCGCCGCAGCATTCGGAGGTGCAAACGAGAATGGGGTGGGCGACGAGACGTCGATCCACGACTCTGAGGATGCTGCTGATGCTGGTTCGGGATTGCCCATGACTGTCGTGGAATCAGTGTTTCCTCTTGTCTCTGCAGCGGAGGAAGGGCCCGCTACTGGCACGTAGGAGTCTAACCTAGATAGGAAGTCTCGAGGGACATCATGCCCCAGCATAAACGACTGCACGCCCTGCATAAGATCCTCGTGGGTATCGAGAGCGTGCGTCTCAACTTCTGACTTGATTGGCTCTGGAGAATCGTCATCGTCTTGGCGCGGAGGGCGAGAGGCAGCACCCTCCGACCTAAACGTCGGCGCAAGGGTACGGTGAAGCGTAAAAGGTCGAGCACCGCGGGTTTCGAGAGAGGGCTCGGACGCACTCCGAGGAATCATAGCACCCTTGTCGATCGGCATGGAGAATGTAAACGGCGCGCTGGGAGGAGGACCCTGTGGAGACTGTTCAAATATTCTCTTCGGGCGCACAACCGGCCTGTCCTCTCTATTGGGCAATCCGCGGGCATACAAACGTTCGGGATGTGGATGGCGGAATCGAGGTGCAGGTGGTTCATCTTCCTGGTCCGAATCGTCGTCCACAAAGGTGCTGGGTCGCTTCATGGCCCGCTTACGGCGACTGTGTCTCACCCGTGCCCTCGCAACATTCCCCTCGCTCCTGTGCAGCCGCTTCCCAGACGCCCGCCCGTGCTCGAGGCTGTCGTCGTCGTCCTCGGTGTCCGTGTCCACGTTGAAGGCAGGGCCGCTAGGCATCACTTGCGCGTATCGGAGAATTGCTTCTGGCGGCTCCTCTGCCGGGAGAGGCTCAATAGCAGGCACCGGAGGATCCACCGCGGGTGCCGGTTGCTCGGGCAGCGGTACGTGTACGTCCTCTTCCTCAAGCACGCCGGGTCGCGCGTTCTGAACTATCCATTCCCGGAGCAGGAAGACGGCCACGAAGACAAGTACGATCAGGCAGGCAATGATCTGCCCGGTGAAGATGTCTGCCGAGAGGTTGCGCCAGGTCGGGTGGGCCATCAGCTCCGAGATAGACGTACCGTTGAGAGAATGCGCGGTCTCGTTTCGATCAATGGTAGTAAAGCGGTCGAATATGGTTGAGGCATAGCTTGAAGGCGGTCTTGGGCGGTCGGCTATCCACCATGCCGTGGATTCTCCCATAGCAAAGTACATCCGCCATGTCCACAGAGTCACCCAGGGTAGGATGACGAGCCACACAATAGCTACCAACACTGCACGTACGCAGAATAAGAATCCCCAGAACGCCTGCTGCGCGAGCCGCCTGAGCACGAGCAGCGGTGGCAGTCGCTCCGGCATGTCCGGCGCGTACACCTTCTGGAACGAGTACGGGTGCTTGCACACATCGCACGTCTTCTTTTTGCTATGTGCGAGCCACGTCGTTAGGCAGTCTTGGTGGATGTAGCGTATCGTCCCCGAGCATTTGCAGGGGTGGAATAATGGCTGGTCGGGTTCGGCTGGCGCGCTGCATATCCGGCACGTATCTTGCTCTTCGTGCATCTACCGGATATCGTCGTTGGAGCCAGTCGGTAACAGGCGAAAGAAAGAGTGTCAAGAGGAGAAAGAGGGCTAGGAAAGCGCGTACGACAATAACCGAGCGCTGCAGCGATGCAGGAAGCAATGTACGAGATGACCAAAGGAGATGACGGGAGGGTGATCCTAAAGCAGCGCCAGCTCTCACGCGCTCGGCAGCCACCGACAAGAAAACTGGGAAGGAGTCTACATACTCGGCTCACGCTTAGCGCGTGACCGAGCCTTGCCACATTCCAATTCGGTGCTGCTCACGACTCACCGGCATTGTTCTGTGAGGGTGGCTTGTCGACGACGCTTAGAACCGTAATTTCAACGAAGCGCGACTTAAATCCACGATGAGTACTTCGCAAATTCCCACTCGTCGCCCAGGAGGCAGCAATCGGTCGAGGACCACAGCAACAGTGATGCAGGCATCAACGTCTCGCCGACGCAAGTCTCATTCGCCCGAGCCAAGGCCTACCGCGCAGAACGCGGTCGCATCGACGGAGAATGGAAAGAAGAAGAAGAAAGCTCTGTTCGCAATGTGGTCCTCCATCCCTGCGTCCAGTCCCCAAGCCAGTAATACTGACGAGACGCCCGTCGACCGTGGCAGGAAGAATAGATCGAAGCATAGTGCCAAGTCTCAGTCGCGTCCGGAGAACGCTAGCGGGCATCGACAAGGAACAGCTCAGGCAAAGAGCTCCAAGAGGGAGAGATCGGTGTCCAGGGATTCACCACGGCGCTCTAAGGGGGTCTCACCGGCGCGTTCTGCTGCAGCCACGTTAACTGAGGATGAGGGGCCTGGGCAAACTGGGTTCACCGGGCCATTAGCAGCTGCTGAGTTTGCTCGACTGAAGGCTGAGAATGAGGCATTGAAGAAGGTGAGTGACTCCGCGTTGTGGCTGCGACAGTTAGCAGAACGGCGCATATAGCAAATACACACGATGAAGAAGACTATAGGGAAGCAGACCAAGGTGAGTCCGTGTCCGTGACACACGCGTGCTATCGATTTTAATGGAAACCAGGCTATCGAGGAAACGAAGCAAGAGCTGACCGCTGCGAATAAGGTGCCAGGTTCCACTGCTAACATCTGGTCTCTCCATTAACGTTTTCTATTACAGTCGAAGAAGGAACAAGGACAACAGATGGAGAAGCTCAAATCCAAGTCCAAGAAGTCAGAAGAGGTGCTTTTATCACGTTGTCCTCCTTGATGACCTATTTAATCGTCCTTTCAAGCTTCTATCCATCATCGAAAACAATTTGCAATGTCAGATATGCCTTGAGTACCTCGTCCAGCCCTTTGTGTACGCCGTCTCCCCGTCTTCCGCGCATGGTGTATGAACCTCCCCTCTAGTGTATCCCCATGTGGGCATATTTTTTGTCAAGGATGCCTACAGAATTGGTTCCGCTCTGCTCCTCCCCACGAGGATGACATGTACGACGACGACGACCCCGACTATATCTTATTCCGGCACAAATCCTGCCCCTCATGCCGCGCCTCCGTGCGCCAGAGACCGGTCCCGCTGTTCATCCTCAAGGCTATCGCATCCGCCGTCGCCAAGTCCAAGCTGCCGCCGTCGCAAGCGAATAGGCCGAGCCCGCCGCCCGAAGCTGACCCCTGGGCGGGCATCTTCCCTACCCAGGAAGAGCTGGACGACGAGGATATGTTCGATGACGCGGAAGATGACGACCTTGAGGATGAAGACAGCGAGGACGATGGGTTCGACGCGGGCGACATGTGGGCCGCGCTGCCCGGATACGGCACGGAGAGCGACGAAGAGGCCTACGAGGGGTCGTACATCGAACCGCGCTGGGCTCCCCCGACGGTATACCTCAACCTCGACGATGGCTTCGGCCTCTGGGACGACCTTGACGACGAGACACTCTCGCTCCTCCGGCGCGGCGCTACGCTCGGCATGATCGAGATGTACCAGATGCAGTACTCGCACGAGCAGGGCATCACCGCCATGCTCGACGGCGGCGAGAACACGGTGTATCTGGGGTGGAACATCAACCTACACGAGAACGATATCCTGGGCGAGGTGTTCATGCAACATGTGGAGAGTGATATTGTCGAGAGGCCGGATAGGTGGAGGGTCCGCCATGACCACAGGACACAGACGTTCGAGGCGTGGCGGCTGGTCCCCGAGGAGGAAGTGGAGGAGTATGATACCACGGACACGGAAGCCTGGATCCAGAGTGACGACGACGAGGACTAGGGCGTCGAATAGACGCAGAGCTTTGCCAAGTGTTTATCGGCTTTCGCTGGACTGGCCGATAAATTTTATTCCCGTCTCACATGCATTGCACTTTACCCGCAATATTCTTGTAGTCAATCATTCACGTTGTATTCCATAAGAATTTCTCAACTGTACTGCTATGCTGGTGAACTATGTTGGTCCTTCAGTTCGACTTCAGCGACGGACGCTCATTGCAGTCACATTCCGCCACAAATCCAAAAGCGGGAGTTCACGTGGTCAGAATCACTGGACGCGTCGCGGTCACACACAGCCGTCACTCACGCTTCTGCACCGCGACGCAATTACGGTCGCGTTTCCCGGCCATCTTGCGCGTCTCACTCTATGCAAGCCTCGTCCTCTACTTGCTTGTCGTTATGGAAAATCTGCAAAGGAAAATAAGTAGCTCTGGCCATACGCTGGCGAGCGCGCCCTTCATGCGGCTGTCGCAGCCGCCCCCAGAATCCACTCATGTCAAGGGTCGCGCATTCGAGGACCTCGGGAGCACTTTTGGGCGATCGCATAGCCAGAAATCTAAATCAGCAAAGAGTACAAAGTCAAACGGGAGGGGTGCACCGAAGAAGGGAAAAGAGCGAGTCTCCTCGGGTGACGATGACAGTCCAGACGAAATGGATCTATTCTCTTCTTCTAATAGGGGCTCGGATGACGAGACGAGCGAGCGGCGCGAACCCTTAGTTGGCGAGGGCGAGGATGTTCCTGAATATCTGAGGCAGCCGAAACTCACAAATCTACGTTTCAAGAAGAAGACCTCGGGGGATTCTTCCGCCACACCTAAAGCCAGCCAGGGTACCAAGACCTCTTCTGCCAGTAATTCTCAGAAGTCTGCTGCTGCACCCTTCAATCCAACCAGCCAATCCCCGAATAACGCGGGCCCATCCACTTCGACCAAGGGTTCAGGATCCTCACCGGACGAGAACCAGCCGAAAGCCAAAGAAGAAAGAATCGTTGGTGGGCCGCCGCTTGGGATGACCAGGGCCAGGTCAGTTGCGGCGAAGGATGTCCTCGGTACTCATACCGCTAACCGCCCAAATTCGCGCTCCTCACGAAGGAACTCTCCCGGTCCTCATGAGCAACCATCGCCACCATCGCAGGGGAAGGGCAAGGGGTCTCGACCCATGCCGACGCCCGCATATAGCGGGGTTAAGGGCTCTGCGGCGCGCTCAGAGCCCGAGTCTGCCGAGGATTCGACCGCTGGTAGGGCCCGTACACGCAAGGCCAGGACGGTTACCGCGCCGAGTCAGGCTTCAAGAGAAGCTGAGAGCAAGGGAAATCGACCCAAACCTAAAGCAGCTTTCGGAGCTGCCAAGCGACAGGTCCAAAGCTCATCTGAGTCCGATACAGACGACGCCGACGACTCAGATTACACGACGGATATGAAGAGGAAGGTCAAGGCGAAGGGTAAGGGTAAGGGTAAGGTAACTCAGAAGGCAAAGTCCTGCCCTATCGATGGAATGTCTCCTCCGCGGAGCAGCCAGAAGAAAGAAAAACGTCGACCGGCGGAATTTCCGATGAAGGGGATGTCGCCTCCCAGCAAGTGCAAAGGTAAAGAGAAACAGACCTCTGGCTTTCCTACTCTGTCTCCGCTCGCGAATGCCGTTACCTCAAGTCAGGGGTCGTTCCCCCATCTGTCCCCCCTGTCCTCCCCGGTACATGCTGCAAGCGACCCCCCCTGGATGGAGGACATAGAAGACGACTTCAGCAGCAATGCCCGCAGACTGGAACCCTTTCCAATGGCTACACAGGATCTAGCCGTGATTGACAAGGAAAATGACTTGCTTCTGACACCTAGGCCAAGGGCGACGAAACGGTCATCTGGAGGGACCGATTCGGAGGGATCAGCCAAGAAGCGACGTAGAGCAGTACCCGAGAATGACTCTGTGTATGCAATCTAATTACGCTGTCCAACGACTGTCCTGATCACTACTTCTAGGGACTTCCTCATCGCGGATCAAGTGGACGCTTCTCAAGTAGACATAGATAACTGTGAGTCATGCCTGACTTCTACTTCGCAGTATTCTTATTCACCTTCGACGCCTTCATAGTATTCTTAGACCCTTCGGTCGACCCTAAGACGCTATGCCCGTGGTGTGACGGTCCATTACCAGCCAACCCGACACCGCACCTAGCCTCCATAATATCAGCGGTTCGCCGTAAGTCATACAAGCAACCCCGCCCGACCAATCCTTTGGGCTTGAAAGCCCCTCTGTCCATCTTCAGCTCTGTCTGCCAGCGGCATCGGTTCGAGACGCATCAGATTCCCCTCGCGCGAGCGAAAGGTTGGCCTACAAGTATCGATTTCAGTGCCCTGCGAGGGCGCGTGGAGAAGCTGAGAAGTAGACTGCAAGAGATCATACAGGACGGTCGCACGGATCTGTATGAGATCGACTTGGATAATATGGATGAGGAGGAAATACACGCTCTCGGCCCGAGGTGGAGGAGCGTATTCTGGGTGGATATTGCGAGGGAGGTGAGGGAGAAGGGGAGCAGGGTGGTTGGGAGTTTGAAGAATCAGTTCGGCAGCTTCGAGAAGACGCAACCGGGATAGTGAGGAACTATTCATTTCATTCGAGCCTGCGGTCCATGGCCTCCATGCGCGTGCTGATATACTCTCATAGCTACGGCGAACTAGGGTCGTTTATCATCCAGCAAACACTCTACAATATGTTCCCTCCGGCAACCTTCGATGCCGAACTCATCGCACCCCTCAATCCAACGGAATTTATACAACGCGTGCTGGTCCCTGAAGTGGGCATTGCGCTCATTATGGAGGACATGAACCTGGACGTCGGCGAAGCGGTCCAAACCTTACGGGAGAGCGTGCAGTACGGCGTCGCCATGTACCCCGGCGACGCTGAGCAAGCGGGTGTTGGCGAAGAGATCGTGATGGAGCGCGCGGCAGCCCGGCGTAGAGAGCTGGAAGAAGAAGAGAGCGCGGAGGAGGATATCTTCGGGGACACCAACGCTACCGAGGACATGGACGGGACAAATTCGGATGCTAGCAGACACAAGGGGAAGGCTAAGCGCCATCTCTCAAACCTGACTATCGAAGGCTCCACTTCCACTAATGTCCGGAGAGGCACACGACACAAGAACCCTGTAGATTATACGGAGAGCGATGAAGGGGGCACCACCACGGACTCGGACAATAGGAAGACATCGCAGCCTCGGGCGAAAAAGCGAAGTCAACCACCCGCTTCTCAAGCATCCCGCCGAACAGACACCGAAGGTGCAAGCGCTACTGGTGCCTCTGGCAGCAGGGGCATCGACAAGTGGTCCAGTCAGAGTCGCCCTAAACCGAGGCCTAGGGCAGCCGCACCGCCGGATCCCGACTCGGTCATAGAGATTGACCCCGTCACTCCTCGGGTTACCAAGTCCTATGCTTCCAACCTCGATACTGACTCCGACGATTTCACGCCCCAGCCACCGAGGAAGATAAGCCGGCCTCCGAATTCAAGCTCGCAACCATCAGGCCGGGGTTCCTCAAAGGTGAAGAGCCCTCGGAAGGAGAGCGGATCGCAGTGAGGAGTCTTCAATTTATCAGGCAGGAGACACCTATGTGATGCACCCCTTTGTGCGGACAGCGACCAGACACCGTGGAAACCGAACATGAGAGCTCCGCTCTCGGAGGACAGCCATGCCTCTGATGCGACTAACAGTGGTAGCCGGCCAGCCACTGGAGGACCTACGCACTCCTGGTTATTGAGTGATGATAGCGACTAGTCCTGATAGCTTTGCGTTCAAGTTATTTGCAGGTAATATCAACTGTATCATTCCATAATCGCTGTACCTTATGTGCTTTGATCTTATCCAACGAGCTTGCCCAAACTTACTATGTATGCCTGAGTGCATCCGTGTCGTCACACACTACCGAGGCACTCCTGCATATCTCTGACGATTGAGTGGTCTACCCCTACAATATTCTATGGTAATCAAACAGCAACTTGCCCCAATCAATTACGAGTTGTCTATGCTAGTTTTTATCTCTCCCCCTTTCTTGCTTTATGTGCGGGAGCCGTAGACGTCCTTGGGCTGCACACCAGCCTGACCCTTGCGAGCATTGGCCTGTGCCCATCTGTAAGAAGGAAGATGTGAGCCCAAGCTCTTGCCAAAGGTGAAACTCATACTTTTTGATCCGGATGGACTCGATCTGTATGAATCCGCTGGTGTCTGTGGGCTCGAAACCACCCAGCTCGTCCATGGAAGACTGATGTTCGTCATAGAGACCCTGCAATCGGTGTTCAGTAGGCGAAACGTCAGCAGCATCATTGTCATCCTGACCTCATCAGACGAGCGGCCCTCAACGACCGTGTTCCCCTTGTACAGCTTCAGCTTGACGACGCCGTTGACAGTGCGCTGGCTCGCGGGGATCGCGCTGCGCACAAACTCGCTCTCGGGCGTGAAGAAGTGGCCGTTGTACAAAATCCGGCTGAGCTCGATCGTGACGAACTGGTCGCGCAGCGCGCGCACGTTGCGGTCGAGCGTGAGGCCCTCGAGGTCGACGTGCGCGGCGCGCAGGATCGTCGCGCCGGGGCTCTCGTAGCACCCGCGGCTCTTCACGCCGATGAAGCGGTTCTCGACGATGTCGATGCGCCCGATGCCGTGCTTCCGGCCCAGGCGGTTCAGCTCGAGGAAGATGTCGACGGCGTCCGTGACGGTCTTGCCGTCCTCGAGCGTCACCTTGACGGGCAGGCCGGCTTTGAACTCGATCTGCAGGCGCTCGGGCGTGTTGGGCGCGTCCTCGGGGGCGGTGGTGAGCTTCCACATGTCGGCGGGCGGGGTGGTGTTTGGGTCTTCGAGAATGCCGGCCTCGTAGGAGATGTGGAAGAGGTTCTCGTCTGTCGACCAGGGCTTGGCGGCGGTTTGCTGCACCGGGATGGATTTCTCGGCGGCGAAGGCGAGGAGGGCCTGGCGGCCGGCGAAGCGGTTGTAGAACTCTGTCACGAGGGTAAGTTGATATAAAGCGGGTGTAAGACAAAGGTCGCGTGCCTGGAATTCGCCAGGGAGCGATGACCTTGATGTCTGGCTTCAGTCCGTAGAACGCAAGCTCGAACCGGACCTGGTCATTGCCCTTGCCCGTGCATCCATGCGATACGAAGCTACGATGCATATAAGCAAGGTGATCCACACCAGCACTACGCGTGAACGTACTCGCATCCCTCCCGTTCAGCAACAGCGATCATGCCGCGAGCAATGACTGGCCGCGCCAGCGAGGTACCCAGGAGGTAGACATTCTACGGACCCGGGCGTCGTGAGAGGGCGTCTAGTGTACTGGCCGTGGCGCACTCACCTCGTAGATACAATTTGCCTGGACGGCGGGGTAGATCAACTCCTCGACAAACTCCCGTCTGAGGTCCTGCGCATATATACATGAGTGGCACTCCAGCATCCGCACGCACAACCCCGCCCACCTCCAAGATGAACTTCTTCGCGCCGACCTTCAGAGCCTTCGCGCGGGCAGCCTCGAAGTCCTATAGAACCCGGAATTGACGTCGAGATATGAGAGGCACGCCGAACGCACGCACCTCCTCCTGCCCGACGTCTGCCATGAACGCGACCGTCTCATATCCCTGCTCGATCAGCCAAGCGAGGATACACGAAGTATCTGTGCGTCCCGAGGTGCAGTCCAGTCAGTTTTCGTACATCCGAGTCCAAGACGGAGACGAACCCAAGCCGCCCGAGTATGCGAGGAGAACGCGACCCTTTGAAGCGGACATTGTATGCGAGGGAAGAGAGGATAAGGGATGCACTGGCAGCTCGAGTCAGAAAGAAAGTTAGAAAGTTTATAGCAGTGTCTATCAAGTCCAGGCGCCTAGCCATATATGGAAGGCGAGTGGCTTTATTCGGCCGATCGAGTTCATTTAGATAAGGGCGTTGCTTGCCACTGCCACATAATTGCAGTAGTCTTGTGGTAGATGGTTGGGCACTACCGTAGACAGATCCAGTGACTCCAAAGGATACCATAAATTCCTGGCGTAAGCAAGCAACATCCTGTCACTGGGAAGAGCCACAGAACCACCTCGGGCTGCCTGCTCTACTCTCAAAGCAGCCACCGCATAAAACACACAACATCGCTCCTGCTCGAGTCTAGAGCACCTGAATATGCCCCGACCGCGTCCCCAGCGCAATCCTCCCCGTCACTTCGGAGAACGCACAATGCGTCAAGTCATCTACTTGCACGACCCCGCCACCAACGTCAGCCACGTGCGCGGGGCGCAGCACCAACAAACGCTCACTGACCTCGCAGATCGTACGACCCGACTTCATACACCGGCCGCCCGTCGATCTCCCCGCCCTCCCCCTCACACCCCAGGGGCGTCGTCGCCGAAAACACCACGACGCTCCGCCGCGTGCTCCCCCGCGTCCGCTCGATCCACACCCCGCGCCGCCCCTCGGGGCCGAGCGCGCACGCGCTCACGAACCCGCGCCCCGTGTTGCGCCCCGAGATCTCGGCGGCGAGCGCGGAGACGCTGGGCGAGCGCGCGAGCGAGGTGAGCGCGTGCACGCCCGCGAGGCGGACGGCCAGCTCACCCGCCGGGGAGGGAGAGGGAGAGGGAGAGGGGAGCGAGATGGTGTAGTGGAAGAGCCCGCGGAGGACGTCGTATGCGAGGAAGGAGATGGAGTGCGGGGACGAGGGGGAGGGGCGCGAGATGGAGACGCCGCGGAAGGTCGTGTTGGGGAAGGCGCGCGAGGTGGTGGGGGGCACGCGCGGGGCGGGGGCGGAGGAGGAGATGGGGAGAGGGGGGAGGGGGTAGAGCTCGACTGAGCGGGTCTTGATGCAGAGGATGTGGGCGTCGCAGAAACGCACGCCGACGATGCCGTTCCACTGTACAATATAACATGCTCTTATTCAACGATCGCCGGGAACGAAAGGGAAGGGAGGGGGATTCGGGGCGGGTACTCACGAGCTCATCGAGGTCCTCGGACCGCACGGATATGGAGCAGCACTCCTGCGTGCGCCAGTCGATCACGTCGATGTAGCAGGAGTGCGAGAACGCGACGAGGTGCAGGCCCGGGTTGATAGCGCGCACGATCTGGGCCGAGGAGCTGTATATCGTCGCGACCTCTTCGTAGTCGTAGTCGGGATACCCGTCGCCCGGGGTGAACGGTATGCGGAAGATACACGTGGTGGAGGGCCTACAATGACATAGGATAGGATGAACTGTATGAGAGAAGGGCAGAGACGAGAGCTTACCCCTCGGTACGCGTCGTGGCCACGATAATACCACTGTCATCGGCGTCCAGGCACGAGACGGACGACGTCCACGGGCGGTTCCCGCGCAGCCTGATGCACGCGCGGCACGACGCCGACGACTCCATCTCCGCCTCCGGGCGCTTCTCGAGGTCCCACAGCGCGACGACGCCCTCGGAGTAGACGCAGAGCAGCCAGCGGTCGCGGTACAGCTCCAGCGCGAGGATGAACGAGCCGAAGTGCGGCGTGAACCGCTTGAGGGGGGTCTGCCGGGGGCGCTTCCAGGTGCGCTCGATGTGGTAGGCCTTGGTGGCGATGGATTCGAGCTCGGAGGATGTGTACTCCGCGAGGGAGTCCTGTGCGCGTGCGCCGGGGGGCATGGGCAGGTATTGCTGCTGCCGGCGGATGATGTCGAACCAGACGCTCTTCTCGCGTGTCAGGTCGCATAGTATCGTGCAAGTCTGGGCAGTGATAACTCATAAATCCAGGGACATACGCGCTGCGGAGCGGACACGGACCTTTCTGAGGCGGATCACGTCTGCGAGGTCGAGGAAAGCCGCGATGTGATAGAACACCTCACCGGGCAGCGTTAGCAGACCGGCTGCCACTCGGTCGTCGGTCGACCGTGTCATGCTGCCGCTGCGAGGCCTATTTTCGCAGCCCGGGCAGGAAAGTGTGGCGACTGTGAATACTACGTCAAGCACAACCAACTGGAAGTGATCTGCGGCGATGAGTACATTGACGCCTACTGGGGTCCGCGGCACCTCCCGCGGCACAAAGATGTGTATCCGTCCTATTTTTGGAGTGCTTCTTTGTGGCTATCGAGCCTTCTCTGGCAGTGTCCCATCTGCAGGTGAGTGTACAGTAACAAATACCGTCCATCAGCCCGTGCATCCCATGGCCACAAGTACCCGGGTCCGAGGCCTCGCTTCGACCCCACGTGAACAAGCTGCATGCGCATTATGCTGCGAGCATCTGGAGCAGCAAATCGGTACGAGGAAGGGTACGAGCGTCAACCGTCCGGTCCGAGTCAATCGAGTGAGCTCGTTATCTTCAACTCTGCAGTGGTGTATTAATACAGGCGTGCAACGCCGCATATCCGAAGACAATCGAGACGTATACGCCCCCTACACTCTTCTCCAACGGTTCGCCCAACCGCCCGGGCCTGCGCCCCGCGTTCTCTGCCCTCCCAGAAGCCCGCGAAAACAAATTGGGAAGTGCTGATATGTCCCCGTGCCCAGGAAGCCCCGCGAGCACGCTGTGCGCTCTTCTCTCTACCATGAATCCTGCGTATATATGGCAGGCTTGTGCTCGTCTGACCCGGTAGGTCGACGACAAGTCTTCCGCCATGGCTCGCCTTTTCTCCTTGGCTCTGCTCGTGGGCGCGGGCTGCGTTTACGCTCAGAGTAGTAGCGGACGTGCGTAGACTTTGCGGTATCAAGTCATCTGGACGGTGCTGAATGGGTTGTAGTTGCCCCGAAGAAATACGAGTATCTCCCGCTCGGGGCGGTGAAACCAGCAGGATGGTTGTACGACCAGGTATTGCGCTTAAATCTCTCTGACCTGCCAACCATGATTGAGTTCCCCCATAGTTGATAGTACAGACTAATGGCTTGGCCGGCCATGAGCATGATTTCTACGCCCTGTACGTTCCACCATTCCTCGCCCATCTCACTCGCGCCTCAACAATCGGTGATGTCCAGGGTCGCGCAGAGTGATTGGATCGGAGGAGACTCAGATTACTCCGACCTGGAAGAAGGTACTTGCGCCGTTATCCGCTCAGACTCACCTCTCACCGCGGTATGAACAGCCGGCAGTTATTGGTTTGTGAGTGCCCTGAGTGCTTGCTCCACACCCCATCTTTTCCCCGCGCTTACCAAGGACCTGCGTAGAACGGCATGGTACCAAACGGAGTATTGGTCGACGACCCGACGATCAAATCCCAAACCCAACAATTCCTCGACTACGTCCTGGACCACCAGGATGAGACGGGATGGTTCGGCCCCGAAGTGAACACCACGAAACCGAGATATCTGTGGGGGAGGTCTGCCTCCTCTCATTTTCCCCGCAATGCAAACTTCGACTCACCCACGTCCAAAGGTACCCATTCATGTTCGGCGCGATCCAGATCGCCGAGTCCGACCCCGCGCAGGTCGGGAAGATCGTGCCGGCCCTGCACAAGTTCGTCGCGCTCGCGAACAGCATGCTCAAGAACGGCGAGGGGCTCAACGACGGCGGGTGGGCGAAGACGAGGTGGGAGGACTTCGTGATTACCTTGCAATGGTATGTTCACCTTGTCTGCTTGGAGCTGGTGAAGGTGAAGGGAAGGAAATGCGATGTGTGAAGGTTGTACGATAACCACCCGGACGGGCACGAAGATCTCCTGCTGGAGACGATGAAGCTGCTCAAGTGGACGGGGGACCCGTGGGAGGAGGTCTTCTCTGCCCAGGTGCGCTCTTTCATTCTCCGTACGCCCAAACCACAGTTGACCTGGATGCGCCTACACAGTACTTCCCGACAGGCCCGACCGAGGACCTGCAGAACCCGTTCGACCTCCCGCTGGTATGGCACGGCGTGAACATGGCCGAGGGGCTCAAGGCGCTCCCCGCGACGTACCGGTTCACGCATAACCAGTCTGGTTAGTATCTGTGGACTCTTGCGTGCCCGTGTTCAGGGAGATGACTGACGCATCTGCGTTGGTGTGAGCGCAGATTTGGATCGCGTAAGCGAAGGCTGGGACCTGCTGTTCAAGTACCACGGGCGGCCGTCGGGGATCTACGCGGCGGATGAGTACCTCGCGGGGTTGGAGGCGATCAGAGGGTGCGTGTCGTATTAACTGGCGGGCCTTTGAGGCTTGACTGATGGGTTCTGCGGTGAAGGACGGAGCTGTGTCTCGTCGTGGTGCGTGTAATCTAGGTGTCTGGAGGCAGTCGATAACTGATAGCGGTTACTTGGTGTGCAGGAAACGATGTTTTCGTATGTGGCGTATTCGCAACATCCATTGGTCGGTGAAATACTGAGCTCGTTGGCCCTCGCGCAGTGGCTCCTACCTATACCAAGTCATCGGAGATCCCAAGTACGCAGACAGGGTAACGTTATTCATGATTTCTCAAATCTAGGGAATACTCTGCTGACCTGTTGCAGGTCGAGAGGATCACGTACAACGCGCTGCCCGCCACCTTGACCGGAGGTCAGCCCGCGTTCTCTCCGTCCATCGCTAGCGGCTGACTATCGCGACTGTAGATATGTGGGCCAGACAGTATCTGCAGCAGCAGAACCAGATCGCTGCGAAGAATATGACGCCGTGAGTCTGTCAGCTTGGCTCGACGTCCGTGAGTACCATCCGTGCTGATACGAACGGAGTTCAGGAACCCCTTCCCGAACGACGGGTAAGCATGCCAGTTCGGTTGCCAGGAGCTGGTGGACTGAGACGCGAGAATGCAGGTCGTACTCCAACGTCTTCGGGTTGGAACCGAACTACCCGTGAGCGTCCTCGCCGGGAAAGCATCATTGGCATTGAATATTGAATAGTTCTGTGTAGGTGCTGCACGGTGAACCACCCGCAGGGCTGGCCGAATATCGTCGCGAATTCGTTCCTGACGACGCCGGATAAGCAGTCGCTGGTGCACTTGTACCTAGGGCCGTTCAGCACGAATACGACTCTGGCTAACGGTGAGTAGCATATCATGAATTAATCTTCCTATGTATGCCCTTTGCTCTATACTTACCTGCATGACTATGATTAGACAACCAGGTCACGGTGAACGTCGACACGCTGTACCCCTTCGGCGACACCCTCGCGACGACCATCACCGCGTCCAAAGACTTCACGTACTACGTGCGCATCCCGAGCTGGGTGACGCAGGGCACGATCGCGGTGAACGGCGGCGCAGCGCAGGGCGTCGCGCCGCAGAACGGGCTGCATGCGGTGCAAGTCAAAGCGGGGACGACGAAGTTCGTGCTGGATCTGCCGGCGGAGATCACGACGGGTGAGCGGGCTGCCTCTCAGGGTCCCGAAGCGCACGTTATAACGACTTTACCCTCCAGAGGCGAGGCCGCACGGCTCCATCGCCGTCCACCGCGGGCCCCTGCACTACGCGTACGACATCGCACGCAACGCGACCGTGCTCGTGCAGCGCGCTGAGGCGCGCGCGCAGGACCTCGAGTTCGACGCGACCGCGCCGTGGCAGTACGCCATCGACCCCAGCTCGCTGAAGTTCAACAACAACCCGCCCGCGTCGGGGAGCCTCCCGAGCCCGATATTCGACTCGGGGTTGCCGCCGTATACGATTAGCGCGAGTGCGTGCCAGGTCGAGTGGGGGGTGGCGGGGGATACCTTCGCGGCGAGTCCGCCGGAGAACCCGGCGTGTGTGGGGGCTAAGACGACTATTACGCTTTGGCCGTTCGGGGTGAGTCGCGCTGGTGTCTCGTCAAGGGGTTTTTTTTTGGCTGATTCGGTTTGTAGGCTACGAAACTGCGCATAGGTGAGTTCCCGGTGGTCGATTTGTCCAAGCAGTAGTGTGGGGGGCAGGCTGCGAAGTGGGTTGGTGGTTGAAGACGCGTCTGTCTGTAAGAAGGGATTTAGTGAAGTAAACTGGGATGGGCTCCTTGGGTGCCATTCGTGGTACTCTACGTATTTACCCCGCATGCGCAGTTGTGGAAGATCTGAAGGGGAAATCTGTGCCATGGTGGCGAGCGGATCGCGATCATAGTTCGATGTCTAGCTCGTGATAGACGCCCAAGCATCCATCTGGATATTCGATTGCACTCCTGGGGAGCCGTGTATACGCCTCCCAAGTCATGCCAGGCATACAATGTCGCTAGTACGTGACGCATGCCTACGGTACCTTCGAGTTGTTATTGAGATCTCTCCCTGTCGGTGGTGCAAATGCAAAGTGTAAGGGGCGCCCACGACGCGAGCGTAGGGTGGCCGGTGCTATGATATAATCTGTAATGTCGCCATCCATCCATAGCAGTTGTCAGGCAGCCTTGTGGTCGTCCGCGATAAGATGCCGTTCAAGCGGGAACTATGCGAAAAGAAGCGCAGGATGCTGTGTGTCCCAGGTGGCTGCCATCCTTCTTCTCCCGCCGCCTCGCATATATAGACCGGTCGCCATGAGTTTCCGTCCAGTCAGCCGTAGCACCCTCTGGCTTATCCTCAAATCATGCTACGGTCTCTGCTCATCCTCGCCGCGACAGTCAGCCTCGGTGCGTGGGGCAAACCGCTCGTCGAGAAGCGGTGGGACGACCTGCAGGTCAAGCATGCATGGGGGGAGACCCCCAAGGGATGGACGTATCAGCACGACGCGCCGGCGGACCATAAGCTTGAAATGCGCATTGGTCTGAAGCAGGACAAGATTGAGGACTTGATTGCGTCGCTGTTCGAAGTCAGCGATCCCGCGCATCAGCGGTACGGGAAGCACTTGTCCAAGGAAGAGGTCGAGGAGCTCGTCAAGCCCCATCCCGAGTCGACAAACTTGGTTGATGAATGGCTCGAGCACCATGGCGTCAATTCGCAGGAGACCCACCGGTCCGGCGGAGGTGATTGGATTACACTGGTAGTTTCTGTGGATCAGGCGGAGCGGATGCTGGGTAAGTGCTCGTGTACCTTCGCGTGGAGTGTCTTATGGACTCTTTGACAGGTACAAAGTATAACGTGTATCGGCACGACGCCACCTCCGAGACCGTCGTCCGCACTTTGAGCTACAGCCTGCCGTCTGTGCTGCATGAGCACATCCAGGTGATCACTCCCACCACCTATTTCGGCACCATCAAGAGCATGAAGGCTACCAGCTTCCGTGAGAAGAACAGCACCGTTGTGGACCAGGATGACTTCCAGCACGAGCTCGCGTCGCTCGGATCTCTGGCCACCATCCCCTCCAGCTGCTCGTCGACCATCACCCCTTCGTGCCTGCGTGCCCTGTACAACACTTCCGGCTACACTCCCGCGGCGACCTCCCAGAACAAGCTCGGGGTCGCGGGCTACTTGGACGAGTACGCCAGCCACTCGGACCTGCAGACGTTCTTCAAGAAGTACCGCACGGACGCGACGGGCGCGGACTTCACAGTCGTACAGATCAACGGCGGCGGAAACGACCAGTCCGATCCCGGTGATGAGGTCAACCCCTTCTTCCCCTCAAACTGAGTCTATGGCTGATTCAGATGCGGATGTGTGATCCAGGCGAACCTTGATATTCAATACACCGAGGCTATCAGCTACCCCACGCCGAACATCTATTACAGGTAAGCTAGACGCGCTATCACTGCGGTGGCTCCCACTCGTTCGGAATGACCTCACGCGTTCCCATCCAGCACCGGCGGGTCGCCTCCCTACATCCCCGACTCTGAAACGACATCAAACACTAACGAGCCGTATTTGGATTGGCTGAACTATATTCTCAATCAGTCTTCCGTCCCGCAGACGTTCACGACGTCTTATGGCGACGACGAGCAGACCGTACGTGCCTCGTTTCCCACATCCAAGTTCATCACCCGCGGATGATCTGAGCTCAAATGTGCATGTGCAGGTCCCGCTAGACTATGCGACTAGCGTGTGCAACCTGTACGCCCAGCTGGGCGCGCGTGGGAGCTCCGTCCTCTTCTCGTCGGGCGACTTCGGCGTCGGCGGCGGCGACTGCACGACCAACGACGGGACCGACACCGTCAAGTTCCAGCCCATCTTCCCCGCTAGCTGTGAGAATCCCGGTAACCCGGACTTAGTTGCCGTGCCATTTACTAACGATGATCCCGCTGCAGGCCCGTATGTCACCTCCGTCGGCGGGACGTACAGGATCAACCCCGAGGTGGCGGTCAGTTTCTCGAGCGGCGGGTTCTCGAACTACTTTGCGCAGCCGAGCTACCAGTCGAGCGCGGTTTCGACGTTCTTGAGCTCGCTGGGCACCAAGTACAGCGGCTTGTACAAGTGGGTGTATCTGTGTCGGTCCGGTGACGGGACGCTGACGTCTGTTGCTTGACCAGCGCTACTGGAAGGGGTTTCCCGGACGTAGCTGCCCAAGGGCAGAACTTCCAGATCGTGCTCAGCGGACGCACGGTCGGCGTGTCCGGCACCAGCGCGAGCTCTCCCGTAAGACTCACATTCGTGATGACATATCGACCTACTAATATTAATCGGACAATTGTCAGACATTCGCCGGTGTCGTGGCGCTCCTGAACGACTACCGCCTCGCGAGCGGGAAGGCCCCGCTCGGGTTCCTCAACCCGTTCTTGTACTCGACCGGTGTGTCGGGCTTGACTGACATCACGTCCGGCTCGAACCCTGGGTGCAACACCAACGGGTTCACTGCGCGCGCCGGCTGGGATCCTGTTCGTCTTTCTTTTCTCTACCGTGACTGCAGATGCAGAAGCTGAATGGACGAATTGCGCTAGGTGACTGGCTTGGGGACGCCGAACTTTGGGAAGCTGCAGGCTCTTGTTTGAGGGGTGTGGCGAGCAGAGGAAGAAAATCTGTGGACGCTTGAGATTGTATATCGTATACACCCGCTTGTACATGTGCTGCGTGTCCATTCGCGGGACCGGATTCACTGAAATGTCCTGTCGTATTTCACTTCGACGTCACTTTGCCCCGAACCTGCTTCATCTCGATGAAGTCGCGCAGTGATGTCTTCTCCTGCACCGTGGGAAATTATTGCGACGCGCCTAAACCACGTCAGTGGCGTGTGCCAACTACCTATGCTCTCTACCAGTACCCGCCTCCTCTAATCCTCCCTATCGCTGGTCGAACTTGCAGTACATAAAATCTCTGTCTCTGGTACGATGGTGGTGACTCGAAAGGAACCCATTGCGCCCCCGACGCCGTCCTCGCGCACGAATTCGTCGCAGCCGCTGCCGAGGGTCGCGAAGGGCAAGTCTCCTGCGAATGGGGCGGCGGCGGTGGACGCTACGGGGTCGTCGAGCGTGACGCAGCCCGTGGGATTGGACCAGTCGGTGAGTAGCATTTGTTGGTTTATGCCACCTGTTGGGATTGCGGTCGCGCGTGACGTGCATGGGGGTGGTGCGTGGATCCGGTGAAATGCCGAAGGTTTGTCGGCGTGCTGGCTACTAAGGGCTGTTTGAACAGATTAGAGAGGAAGTGGGCAGCCGGGCATTGTGGTTGTGGTTGTGCAGTTATCCGGATGACTGAGGGGATCTTCTGCTCTGCGTGTACACGCTGTAGTGAGCGTGCTGACGATCTCCCCCTTGGTAGGACGACGGTTCTGGCGATAAATCCCAGAAGTCGAAGAGCAAGTCCAAAAATAAGAAGGCTGCCAAAGTACGTTTGACCTTATCCTGGCCGCTAGCCGACAATGTCTGACATGACCTGACACGCATACAGAAACAACGCAAAGCCCGCAATTCCTTCTTCGCCCTCATCCGTGATATCTTATTTGGAGTCCTTCTAATTTATTCGCTTTTTGTTTGCTCTCCTGATAAACCAGTCACGCCCGATTCCCATCCTATCTGTCGCGCCCTCTCTGCCTCACACCACCGCATCGTCGAACCATATATTCTCACTCCCCTCAGGCCTGTTCTGGACCATCCGTCGGTCGCCCCTTACGTGCAGCGTGTCGAACCGTACCGCCAGAAGGTCATCACCACTGGGGAATTCGTTATTGACCAGACGCGCACGCAATGGATCCGGCGTGTGATTCCGCAGTGGAATCAACGTGTTGTGCCGCAATGGAATAAGTTCGTTGTTCCCGAACTGAAGAAGCTTGAAGCCAAAGTCGAGCCCTACCGTTCCCAACTAGAGCGGGAGTACCACCGTGCTGTAGCTCCTCGTGTCCGGCTGGCTCAGTACAACCTCGAGCGGTGGTACAGGTCGTCGCAGCCGTATATTACTCTTGCAGCCCAGAAGGCTCAAACCGGCTACCAGGTCGCGAAGCCCTATGCTATACCTGCATTGCAGCGGTCCAGGCAGGTGCTGCTTCGAGCCCTTGCCTTCCTACAGGAGCAACGGCGTCAGTTCGTCGATCCCCATGTGATTACCTTGCTGGGTAAAGTCACAGAACTGAGCACGGGAAAGGCACAGCAGATCAAGAGTCAAGTGTACACGGCCGTGTCTAGCGCACGGGAAGCTTCGTCATCATTGTCTTCTCGAGTTCAGACTGCCTCTTCAAGCGCGAGGGAGGCTGAGTCGTCGGTGACCTCTAAGGCGGCAACTGTCGCTTCTAGTGCCTCGGAGACCTTGTCCTCCGTCGCTTCAGCTGCACAAAGCACCGCATCCTCTCTAGTGTCGGGTGTATCCGCTGAAGTCGGTGTCGGTACTCCGTTAGCTTCTGCCCCTGCTACCATAGTCGAGGCGGAGGTTCCTTCGAGCTATTCTTCAGATCCCTCGACTTCCTCTTGGTCTAGCGCGGCCGAGTCGGCAACTGAAACACTTTCCTCTGTCTCTTCAATTATTGCGACGCATGCGGAGGATGCAAGTTCCAGCGTCGCATCCCTTGTTAAGGAAGCCACATCCACCGTGGAATCTCTAGTCACCGAAGTCACTGGTCCTTCCAAGACTCCCTCTTTCGTGGCCCCTCAGCCAACATCCGCTCCAGGAGGTGATGATTTTGAGCTGAACGAGTTCATCGACATCCTCGGGGACTTGGACTCGGATGAACCTGAGCCCTTCGATACTGATGACATACTAGATTCGATGCCTACTCCCTCGGAAACCGCGGAGGAAAAAGAAGCCCGTCGGAAGCGCACGGCCGAAAAGCGCCGCGACATCACTTCTAGGCACGCGAAATGGGAAGAAGAACTCGAGGCATTGATCAAGGCGAAGAAAAAGGAGCTGCGTAAATCACTCGTTGCTTTGAGGAAGGCGGCCGTCACGGAGCTGAAGGAGTCGAAGGAGATCCAAGGTGAAGTGGAAGGCCTTGTGGAGGAGGCCGAGAAGTTCTTAAAGGGCGCTGATGGGTACCTGAAGACGTTGAAGAAGGAGGACAGAAGTGTCCAGGACAAGGAAAGACTCTGGGGAAAGGTACTGGACCGTGTTGAGAAGCGGTTTGAGGAGAGGATAGACAAGGTTGCGGGTCTTGTGAACGAATGGCACGGGACCGTGCAGTACCGAGAGATGCAGGAGGTACGGACAGCTTCATTCCTACGTTTGTTATCTTGACCTTTGCATCGTAGGTGAATGACGTTGCTGAAGCCGTGAAGGATCTTGCCGAGAGAGCACAGGCTGATATCGGAATGGACTACGCCTGGCTGGATGACGTTGATTACACGGACTGGGTTCGTTACCATGACCTGATGCGCGGTAAGCAGAATGTCCTGAGTTGAGGAAACTCTGAAGCTAACGACTCGCAACACTCCATGCAGCGAGTGAAAACTTCACACAGCAAGCTCTGATGATCCAGAATGGAACACATCCTTCACCGCCGATTAACCCTGTCCTGCCGGCACTGAATGACCTGGAGGCAGAGATCAAAGACATCGTCACCGGGTTCCAAACGCGGGTACGTGGCCTCAAACGCTCCGGACATCGCGCGTTCGGTGGGAGCAACGACGAGGAAGATGCCGACAAACAGGATTCCGAAGACAAGTCCGATGCGCCCACAACGCCGCAGTCGCCGATCCCAGACGCTTCCATTCTCCCTGTTCCGGACCCGGAGAAGGATACAGCGATGGGAGCTGCACTGCCAGTGATCGGTCGGTCTAAAGAAGAGGTGATTGACGCTCTGGGTCGAGCTGCAGAAGCCCTAAAGTCCCAGGGGCAAGCATCATCTTCCACCAAGACGGCTTCCCAGGGTGTAACACCGGAAGAGGCAGTTGAGAGCCTTGTGCAAGACGTTGAGGCCGAGGCGGAGAAGGCGGCGCCATCCGCGCACCAGGAGCTATGAGAAAGTTATATCCATGTTTGCACCTTATATGTTGAATTCCGTCACAGGCAGGACTCGGCAATGGCTAATGTGCAGTACAGTCTATTTTATTGATGTCATGCGTATGAATGTGCACTCCCACGCGTCTAATGTCTAATTGCTTTTCTTGCTTATGTACGGTGTTCTGAGAGATTTATCCTCACATGCTCACAGGACTGCTGCGTCGGCCATCCTCGCGGTTTGCAGGATTGTCAATGCCATCGATTCTTTGAGAATTCTCGAGCCGCAATGCTGAATTATGGTTATTCATTGTAGAGCAACACACCACATACAGTACATATAGAGCTTCTGCCTTTCGACAGTGCCGTAACGCCGCACGCGGGCGAAACTTTCAATCGGGCAAATCTGTGAGATAGAAGGTACTCGCTCCCATAGGTCAGCACATGGCCGCCCGCGGGCTCGCTGATCAGACCTCCTATTGCACAAACCACGGCCTTTACTTATTCTCTCGAACTGGTCAATGCAGCCACCAAGAAATCGCTGGTCTCCTCTTGGAGAATGTCCTTGGTACCTATCTCCTGGTCCATCACCCACGCATACGCCTCCAACAATATTGCATCCGTGAGCGGCACAAAATGCGCCGCCAACACCCGTATTATATTGGTCACGCTCGAAATGGCTGACCGAGTTGCCTCATCAATGTCCTTAGACACAATGAGCATGACTAAGTGCACAATGAACAAAGAGTGCGGCACACTAACGTCGTTCTGACTTGAATACACAGCCTCGGCGTCAAAGCCCTCTTCGCCTTCCTGGTCATTATCTTTCACGTGTTTGCTCACCCAGATATACCCGTTCAGCCCCAGGATCAAGTCCACCCCGCACGGCAGCGTGATGAAATGCGACTTGAGCCGTCGGACCAGGATGGGCGGGACCGCGATGAGTTGGCCATTGCGCAGCTATGTATGGGAAGAACGTCCTTGCTTGAGTGAGGTGAGACACGAGAGATATGTGCGGAGTACGTACCTTGCCGTACTTGAGCGAACGTGTGTGTAACGACATGGCGCCGTCAGAGAAGAACGCCTGCACCTCCGCGACGAGCAGATCACCCTCTTCGAAGAATGTGCGCATCTGCAATTCATCGCTTTCCAGTTTTCGTCTCTGAATTCAACGGAAGCAAGCAAGGACGCCGATCAGCACGTATATCCAGAGAAGTATATGAAATAAATTGGCGCATTGTTTGATTTGCATACCTGCACTCCTCCGGGAAGGTTCACTGACGAGAGCATCAGGACGGCATCCTGCCGGGAGTTGGCGTCGACCTTCCACCGCTTAGGCTGCACTTCTGTAATTCGGCCCACAACGAGATCGCCAACCTCTGGGCTGTACCTTGACTCTCACCCTCGTTATGCACTGATCCTGATTATTCCTGACAACGGGTTAGACTTACCTAGTTCGGATGGCGCGTACCGTTACCAGCTTATTCACACGTTCGACAGTGCCCGCTACAGAGGCGATGACTTGGTCGTTCTCGACATAAGTGCCATGCCCGCTGAGGAGAAAAAGTCCGATTAGAACCGCGCTGAAATCTTCCAGGTGTACCGTTGAGCACGTACCGCATGAAAGCTTGCGAAGACGTGATGTAATCTCCTGGACATGTCAATCGTGCGCCGCCATCATATTCGACCTCGGCCAGGTCCATATCGACGTCGTCTTCGACGTCCGAGTGGTGTTTCGTGCGCCCATGAAAGGCAGCACTTTGCGAAGGAGGATGAAAAGAGGTGAAGGTGATCATGGTCCAAGAGCGGGGAGGTGTTAAGGTTAGGGTCCGCCGGTCCAAATTGGAAATTACGTTATTTTCCGGTCACTGTAATCCCTTCGCCGGACGCCTTGCACCATCCTGGCACGGGCATCTAGAGTCCGCCACTCGATCTCCGGTTACATGGCTCTTGCTATATTTACCGTCAGATTTGCTTCCGTGTGCATGTAACATCGTTTGTTCGTGCACGCAGAGTTGAGCCAGACCCTCTAAAACTTATCAGGCGATGAGTTCCGCATACATATGATTCAACTTTGCATAGGCAGCGAGCACGCGGTGGACCGCTTTTTTTCGAAGCCGATGCACAAGGTGGGTACCACACGAATATTTCGCGGATGATGGCCTGTCCCCTTGACTCTCGCAGATTGATCTTACTTTTACCTAAGGGCAGAAATGTCTGCAAGCAGCCAGGGCGCATCACACCATAGATAGCTTAGTGCCATTGCCTGGAATTTGCTGCCATCGGATGAAAATAAGAACCGCAAGCTTGGAAGACACGTCCGTGTCATGATCTGAGACGTCTGCACTGCACAGCAAAGCAGAAGTCGCCCTGTTTGCTCTTCTCGCCAAACCCTAAAAACCTAAAATCCTTCCAGGGGAGTGGCCAGGCCTCCGCTCGGATTTGCAATGGTCAGCGTCGTCATATGGCTCTATCATATATTCTCCATGCCGCGTATCAGATTGACATCTCAGGCGGCGGACGGACTGGAGCATCGTTGTCTGTCTGTCCATTCACCGCCGCAGCGGCGACGTCATGCGCATGACGAGCAAAGTTCTTGGTGTGATTTGCAACGACCTGCCCTTCCGAGTACGATCTTCGCGGGTATGCATCCTCTTCCTGCTTCCCGCTTCTCATGCTTACGGCTCCGAACTGCTCTCTACGCGATGTGTTTCAGGTGCAAAGGACAGATCTCTGCCCATAGTATTTGTCTATCTATAGCTACCAAGATTACTAAGATAAGTCTGTCTATTAGGGACTATGACGAGCAGGACAATAAAGCAATGAAAGCGAATTAGCGAAAGCGATTGTGCACCAGGTATCAGCAGGATTCTAAGGGCGGGGACAATGCGATGTTAGACTCTGTGCTCCAGGAGTCAGATCGAAACACTCACAAAATCATCTATTTGTAGGTCAGGAAGTACGCTGAGAGCGTGGGGAGATCGTTGGAACCTGCGTCCGAGTAGCCTTGCCGACGGGAGCCATTAAACTTTAGGACAACCACCGGGCCACACCAGGGTTTTGGAGCTGCTCCCGAGGTTATCCTCAAGATTGCCCTGTTGACTGGCGCTCCGCGCGAAAGCGATGATTGACTGTAAAAGAGATGTAGCGGGAACCTGAGAGGTTCGTTATTCAAGCCCTGCGTAAGGACAATGCTGCCGACTTGGCCGTCCGAGAAGAAGTCTTGTACCAGTGGCGTTGGACATGACCCGTTGGCGGGCACCTGCTGGGGCCTACACTGCACGGTTATGACACGCGGCCGTTCTGCACATGGGCGATTGTTAGCGCTCACGTGATATGCGCGACAAGTAACGCGTAGCGTACCTTCCTCTGGGCTGAAAAGCAACGCGGAGACAGATACCAGAGGTTGTTGGTATAAGGGCGGCGTTGCGATCTGATTGTAGTTGTGCTGCGAGCGGTGCGCGGGCAAACACTCCATCTTATGTCTTGGCCAATCCTAAGCTCAACGTTAGCATGGGACAGTATCATGCGACCGACCGGTGAAGAAGACTCACATTTTGCTGGTGCTCTGGCGAGCAGTAGTAGGCCCGTTCACAACGTCCACACCACAATGAGGTGGGGTGGTAGCAGACCATGCATTGGTGCTGGATAGTGCTCATAGCTGCTTTGTTTTTTTAGAGTCAAGCGTGTATGAATGAGACTCGGATGAAAGGATGGAATGGAGGGCCTGGGGTGGCATTCCTGCCTCTTTAATACTCGCGCGTATTTAGCGCCGAATGGATATGCTCATAAGTGATGTTCGTGCTATGAGGTGTGCGAACGCGCGCAGACGTGAATGAGCGAAAAGATTCTCAATCCGGTCTGACTCAGACGCATGCACCGGAGAAAGGATCGCGATCTATACTTGCCGAGATCCATGGCCAATAGCAACGACATATTCCAGGCACCGTGCAAGAGCGTACGTGGGGCTGCCGCGTAAAATGACTATATGAGATACCGCGACGCCGCATCAGGAAGCTGCGACATAATCCCGTCGGGTGTCACACGCCCGACGGACGCGGTACTCGCAGTAGCCGTCCAGTTCTGTCGGGAGGCTGCTTGATATTGTGACGGAGTCGGACAGCGGTGCCGTTGCCAAGTGAATGCGAATGTCTCTGAAGTAGGTTCCCACCAGCGCCGCAGAGTCCATTTCCACGCAGCAGCTCAAGGCCTAGCCACACCCCAGTGTGGGTGCACTATCTCATTCTAAAGAAACACCAGGTGGAATCGAGCCTGTACGCCTTGGTGCGACGCCCTATTTTATTCCTGCAAGGGTTCTGGATCAGTGTGGCACTCAGCGGACGGCCAAACCCGTTCGGCAGCAACTCGGTGGCGTCGTCCCCCTGAGAATCCGATAGAAAATAGGTGGAAATCGGCATCGTAGCATGGATATTTTATGAAGCGGAGCACTTTAGCTCTCCAAGTCATGAATCGGAATGCAGAGTGCAACTTGAAGGAGGCTGGACAAGCTTGCATTCTCTACGTCGACGTTCTGCGAGTCCCGTGGGAATATAGATTCATCGGGAGTTCCCGACACGTCCATCGGTATTCTGCGATACTCAGTGCGGCTCTCCTTGCCAACTTTCGTCTTGGACAGCTCCATCCACCATGTCCGATGATGGCATGAACATTGACGACGGTGAGTGTGTTTCAGATGCGTAACATCAACGCTTTAATGGTATATATCTACGCACGCAGTCGGTGAGGGCGGTGGTGTTGTCAGGCGGAAAGGCAGAGGTTTCCAAAACGCGGCTGGTGAGTTCCTGAATGGCTGGTACGGAACTTCGCTGATTGTGATCCATGGCTGCGCAAGGCGGCGGGAATGAAACGACGGCGGGGCCTGAACCTACGTACGACCGCGTTGAATCTGCCAAAGACTCGGAGACGAGGGCAGCGCGATGTGAGTCCTTTCTCTGTCATGCTCTGATGCATCTAACCGATGTTTGAACAGCGGTGGAGGGATGGATCGTTCTCGTTACTGGCGTACATGAGGAAGCTACGGAGGAAGACGTGATGGACAAGTTCGCAGAGTACGGCGAGATAAAAAACCTTCACTTGAACTTGGACAGGCGGACGGGCTATGTTAAGGTGCGCAGTCGGTGGTCTCTATCTGTTTTAGACTAGAATCAACGAGTAACTGTTCCTCAGGGCTATGCTTTGGTGGAATACGAAACGATGGCCGAAGCTCAAGCTGCCATAGACGGTGCTTCCGGCACGACTCTGCTGGAGCAGACCGTTCAATGCGATTATGCGTTTGTGCGGCCACCACCGTCAGGACCGAAGGGTGGTAGGGGCCGACGAGGTCGTAGCGCTAGCCCTTCTCGCCGGAGGAATAGGGAGTAATGTACCATATATTCGATTACTGTACTGACTGTTTGCTCGTCGATGCTGTCATTGTCATTTGTACCTAAATTTTGCCAACGTTCGTGCGTACGGCACTACCTCAGTACACCGAGCGTCCAACTCCCTTCAGTTTTGCTCGCTCGTTCTCACTCCTGCAGTATGGAATGCGAACTCTGTTACCGCTCGAGTCTGCGTACGAATCACGATGGTCCGAAGCCAGGGACCAGACTTCGCACGGTCCTTGTAGCAGACTTCTCTACATCGCCGCGTGGAACGCGACCTGTCCCCGAAACGCGAGGACGTGCACCATGCCCAAAGCCCGCGCCGAGCCCGAGGACGACGTCGAGGTCGGAGACGAGCAGGAGGAGAACGGCGACGAGGAGGAAGAGGAGTATGAGATAGAGGCCATTCTTGATCACCAGCACGGGCGGTTTGAAGCGGTTCGTCTTTCGAGCTCTCCACACATTGAAAAAGCGCGCATTCTGACATCTCTGCCAATGATACTTTGGTATTGGATAGGGCAAGATGGGCTACTTTGTGAAATGGAAGGGCTACGACGCCAGTGAGAACAGTTGGATCACGGAGGAGGATGCCCAGTAAGTGGTCGTATTGGACATCCATTCACTGAGGGTCTAGACATTGCGCGCAGGAACGCGAAGCAAGCCATTGACGAATACTGGGACAGACAGAAGAAGAAGAACAAAGGGGGGAGGAAGTCCGACGTGAAACCCAAGCCTGCCACCAAGAAGTCAAGAGACGAAACACCCGAGGAGGATCCTTCGACCTCTGCGAAGAAGAAGCGGAGGACCAGCAAAGCGGTGTCTGATGATGAGATGGACGTCGACGAGGTTGCCCCGCCGAAAAAGCCCGCGAAGACGACCAAACCCGCGACACCCACCAAACAGACAAAGAAGAAGCCGCCCGTGTCCGAGGATGAACCGGAAGATGACGATGGTTATTTTAACATGAGCAAACATTATAATGACCCGAGCTGGGAGCCCCTGCTTGGTAAAATCGATACAATCGAGAAGCAGAAGAACGGGCTTGTGGTGTACTTTACGTTGTGAGTACATTATGTTGCTGTAATCACAAGTTGCGCTGCTAAACCAATCGCCAGACGGGACGGAAAACGGGTGAAGGAGAGCTCCAAGATCTGCAAGGAGAAGTTTCCTCAGTCTGTACGTACCAGCCGTCTGTTTTCGGTCTCGCCCGCGCTGATAGTCCACTAGCTACTGAATTTTTATGAGTCTAACCTACGCTGGAGGAGTGTCGACGAGTAACTTGGCTTGGGGAATACCGCTGCTCGTATTCATGTGGTGTATTGTTCTCTGTTTTCTTGTCGGCTATGGATATCCCATTTGCCCTTTCTCCGCCGTTGGCCTTTCCCAACGTAGAGTAAAAACCCAATACGTGGGTATGACAATCTGGAGCCTTCGACTGAGACTCGCTTCAACATGCGGTCCAGCCACTAGGCATCTGGTGGGTGATCCCAGCGAGATGTAACCATTTTAGGTAGAAGTACACAGATCAAGAAAACCATGCTAAGTACGGTTGTATTATTCTTCCTCTTCGTCATCCAAATCACTCCGGTCCTCCATATTCTCGTCTTCGTCTTCGTCTTCTCCTTCGCCGCTTTCCTCACCGCTCTCATCATCGCCTTCCCCCCCATCTTCGTCGTCGTCGTCGAGAGTCTGGTCCGGCCCAGCGGGAGGCTCAGGCTGCTGCTGCGCACCCGAGTTACCAGGCGCGGCCCCACTCGCCATCTTCCGCGCCTGCGCCGACTTTTCTGCCTCCTCCTTCGCCCTATCCACCGGGAGCAGCTCATGGAGCGCCAAGTCTTTCCATTGGAGGTTGTCGTTCTTCCCCCCTTTCCCATATCCTGAGTCCTGGAATAAGGCGCGCGAGTGCGGCTCTCTGTGCATGCGAGCGGCGGAGGCGGGGTGGTTCAGACTAAAGGGGTTGCCGTAAAGGTAGGACGGGTGGATTTGGGAGGGCAGAGCTGAACAATGCAGTTAGGGCACGGTGTCTCGTCTACGGATCGGGACGTATACGTGCCTTCGGATTCTTCAATATCCGGTGGTTTCCATTCCCTGGGGACCTCCACCTCTGTACAAGAACGCGTCAGGCTATGTAGGCTGTGGCTCAGAATAGGATACGGCACGTGTCGCACACGGTGCACTCACGCTGCTCTTTCAGGTCTTCAACTAGGTAGTCCTCAGTCTCCAAGGTCCTCAGGGCCTTAAGATCGTAGTCTGTCATATGCAGCCAGCAATATGTCAGATCCTAATTGCGGAATAAGGCCTCAATCATAACACTAATGGCTCAATATCTTTGGACAAAGCTGACCGTCATGGTTGTTGTCGACCTGAGCCACGTTGTAAGGCGCCCAATGGGTTTCTGTAAGCCGTAATGCGCACCGTAAGTATTGTACGTTGTGCTGCAACGCGTCAACTTGACAGGCAGCGTACCGTGACTTCAACGGACGCGTCCCACGGAAGTGGCGTGGAGCACAGCCACCATCTGGCGAACACTTCGCACGCTCGGAATACGGTAGCGCGGTATGCAGCCAATTCTTCTATTCAAACAGTCACTTATACTTGGTAAATCATCCGCTTTCCCTCTCCATGTCCAGTGTTATGCTTTGCTGACACACGTCAAGACATGAGCAGGGAGCGCCTCTAGTAATACGATTGGAACGGAACATGTACTGAGCGAAGTTCCGATTCCTCTAGAATCGGTTTACTGTTCAGTAGTTGTATAGGACTCTCTGGCGATCGAGAAAGCGAGCGCTTAACAGGGGTTATACCACTTACGTCCCAAATTACTCGAAATGTAATAGGAGCACTATTCATAAATGGTAGGTGGCCCGATCCAAATCTTACCGCCACCAACAAATAGGAACTATTACCCCTTATGTCGGGGATTACTGTTTGTGTGATAGAAATTAATTCCAAATATGTAGGGTGGCACTGTCAGGCATTCCCCGGCTGCCTGTGGAATTGGGGGCGTTACTCACTCCCAGGCATGATATTGATATTGAGCGGAGTTTCAAATCTATAAGAGGCAAGTTCGCGTGGCTCGCGACAGATGCTTGGGGAACGCTGGGGCAGGGATATCTCGTCTAAGTCGTTACGGAGCTTCTAGAATTAATATTATAGTAGAAGTTAAATAATGTAAATTTCCTGAACTTGTGTCGGCGCGGGCGTATCAGCCATGGTATTGTGAGCGTGAGGCGGGAGTTGCCGAACCATTAGCACAGTTCAAACTCAGCTCAATATCATGAGTGACTTGTATACGGGGATTTCCTGCACAATAAAATCCAAAGATTTTGTTTGAGTACTCTAGCATGTTGTACCTATAGGATATACTAACCACAAAGCAGGCGCCATCTCATGGGGCATTGTGCACCCAGAGTTCCGGTCGCAGCCACCCTCGATATTGTGCGGGGTTCTAATCGTGGGAACCGCTCACTCTGCGTCTCGCGCAGGCGCACCATATACGACTTCAGCGTTTCAACTTGAGCGTGAACGACTACAAAATCCCCGGAGAGTAGTACTACTGTCATCAGAATGCCAATAGGTATTGTTTACTTGTAGCTACTTGAGACCTGCGGGTGCTAGTATCGTGAACCCGCCGGACACATATTTACTTAGATACCCGGTCGAAGACCGGGAAGAAAAAATGAACTACACCTCAAAAATTGAAGGATCAGCACCCTAGGATACATCTCGTGCAACGTACGGGAGCAGCGAGAGGTTGTACAATGTATAACCCGCTCGCTAGGGAAGAAGCATGCTTTCAGCCACATGCAACCATATTTGGAGCGGCCACCCCTTGTTCTTTTTTCTTTTTCTTTTTCTTTTCTTTTTACTGCAGTGGTATCATTATCGAGCCTGGAATTGCGCCAATGGCAAGCATCCTGTTGCCTACGGTACAAGCTATGACAGTGTTGAGACAGTACACTGACTCTAC